TCAGTTTATTCAAACGATTATGAAGACTTATTAGGCCCTATAGGGTTCAAATTTCCTTTTGTTCTTGTTCCTCTGTTCTCATAGTGCATGTATCTCATAGCTTTTTCCACAATTTCATCTCGAAATTAAGATTATAACGGTTTCTTTTGTGAAAGAAACCTTTACAAGGCTTTCTCTGAAGACTCGCTAAGTTCTGATTCATTTTTACACTATCAAAACCCCCCATCTTCAACCTTTTCAAAGAGAAATTTTTTTTAATGAACTTTTCGATTCAAAGTTTTCCGTTTCCTCCCGTAGAGTTGGTATTTCTGTCGATTCTTATTCAAAATGCCGCGGCTCGTGCCGCCGTCGCCGTCGTCGCCCCAGAACACATTTGCCTTGCGCTTCATCGATTTTACGATCGCTATGGCCGCCCCACGCGAAACTCTCCGGATAATGATATTTTCTTCAGTTCGATCAATGTATTTTTTGTCGCGTTGGGTGATTTTCCAGGTTCCACCCAAATTTTTTTGGTTGAGTCCCCCCCCGATTTATCAAACTGGTCAAAATAATAAGATTTTTCTTCAGTATAGGTCCGATCAATGTATTATTTGTCACGTTGGGTGGTTTTTCCAGGTTTTTTTCCTAAAATTTAGTAAAGTAGGAACACTTTTTTTCACTCGGGGGGCTTTTGGTGTGAATTTTAGGTTTTTTTCTGCAACTTTGGCCAATTAGATTCAGAATCCTTACCCGCATAGCCGCTATCAACCCAAATCTATAGTTTTGAACATTTTTTTGTGAAACGCCCCCCCCTCCCGATTTTTTTGAAATTGGCACAAATCGGGTTTTTGTAATTCAGGCCATATAGATGAAGGTTCCGAAGAGCCATTACCTGCGTAAACTTTGGCTTCGGCTTATCTTCAATATTTTTGGACCCCCCTCCCGATTTTTTTGAACTGGCCAAAAAAAGGTTTTTTTGTACTCTTGGCCGAATAGATGAGGGATACCAAATAAGCCGCTAACCCACTCAAATTTTTTTAGTTTTGGACTTTATTTTTTTGGACCCCCCGATTTTTTTCAAAGTTGCCCAAAAAAATCAGGTTCTTTTTACCGAGATTTTGCAAGCTTAGGGGTTCATATCTATGCGATCGAACTAAACAGAAATTTCAAGCGAACAGAAAAATTTTTAAATTTCACATTTAGAGGTGTTGTTAGGATCTATCTGGTATCGTAAAAAAATTCCCCCTTCCTCACTTTTTTTCATTTTCCTTTGATTTGAATACTTGATTTATCGATTGAAACGATTTTTTTCTTTTTTTCATGGCTTGAATTCCAAAAAAAAGCGATTAGTAAGTTTAAAATGCGTTTCGAAGAAGGGTTCTTCGTTGAGAAAATGATGAAATTCCCACGACAAATTCATTGATTTGATAATTTTTGAATTGGCGCCGCTACGCGACCGCTTTGCACAGCATTCCATCAGTTTGGGCTGAGAAAATAAAAACGTTTTTTTATATTGATAAGGATGTCTAGAATGATTGAATTTTTCGGATATAGTTCCAGCCGACGAATAAATGGCTGAACTTTACAGTTTTCAGTTTTCATACAGTTCAATGTAAAAATCAAAATCTCTTCTTTTCTAAAGTTAAACCTGAAAAAGTGAATCCCGATCTCTGAATCTCGTAAAAGAAAGGTGTTTTTCTTCGGCCCATCACTTTTTCGGCGGCCCGTTGATTTATAGGCAAATGTCTGTTTTGCTAGTTGGACTATTAATGAAGGCCACTGAAAAACCGGTCTGAGAGAAAATTGAGCGATTCTCGCCGGTGGAAAGCGAGTTTTCACAAATTGCCACATTTATCTCTCGATTTGATGCGTTTTCGGTGTGATTTTGGCGGGTTTTTGTTGGTTTTTAGTGAAATTTTGGGTTTTTATGAGGCTAGTCCTTATTAAAAAAAATGTTAAAATATTAGAATCGACTTTTTTTTATCTGTTACAGCATAAAAATTAGTACCTTTTTCGGGTTTTTTTAGCCTTTTTTTGTGTGGGTTTTGAATAGAGAACTTGTATTTTTTTCAAAATTAAAGTTCATCTTTTTCTTTTTTTGGTCCAATTCTCTCTACCTCATTTTTTTGAATACGCTGTCAATTTTTTTCATGGGATTTTTTTCGTAAAATAAGCTTCTTCTTAAGATTTTTCTTCATTTTGAGGTCCATATTCGGATTTTTTCATATCTCATTGGCCCCTGAATTAGAACAATCTGACCTGTCTGCGCCCTCCAGAAATTTTTGAAGCTCTACAAAAAAATTTCATTTTTGCCGAAAAAAATCAATTTTGGGGATGTTATCACGTACCCCCTCCCCCTTGAAAAAGTACGTAACCTCCTCCTTTTAAGAAAGCGTACCCCCACCTCCCCTTAAAAAAAGTGCACCACCCCTGAAAAAGTACGTACCATTTCGATGTGAACTTAGCACATGTAATCCATCCATTGGAAGCATTTTTAAATATAATTCAGATCGATTGAATGAATGGGAGGGGGGATACGAAAAATAAAAAAAATACCCTGTTAGCCCATGCATGGTTTTATGTTAATTTTTTTCAAGGGCTAATGTTTAGAAACGTTTTTTTCAGATTCCGGTTTTTTTCTCACTGCCCGTCGATCAATTTTTGTCAGACCCCATACATTTGGGCCATCAAAATTGAATAAAGAACCGTTTTCTGTGAATTTTTTCAGTAAAAGTAAAGGTTTGAGAGCGTTTTTTTTCTCAAGTTTTAGCTCTAAATTTTATATTTTTCTCACTGATGGTCGATCAATTTTGTCAATTTCCTCTACCTCATTCTTTTCAGCCATCAAAATCGGATAGAGAAGCGTTTTCTATCAATTTTTTGGTTGAAAAAAAAGTTTAGGAGCGTTTTTTCTTCATTTTCAGCCATAATTTTTATATTTTTCCCATTGACGGTCGATCATTTTTGTCAATTTCCTCTACCTCATTTTAAACTGCGACCGCCCCGGACGGCCCAGTCATCGACGGGCGCCGCGCAGGAAACAGAAATGACTAGTTTTGGTAGGGCCTCCCGGTTGGTACATAATATACACAAACACACGCACATTCTTTTTTTTCGCACCTCTTCCTGTTCGATACAACAAACAGGTGCAGGTTACCTGAGGAAATGAAGTTTTCTTCAACATTTTTCTTCGCTCCGAAGTTTCAGGGCTCTTTTTGAAGTTTTAGGGCTCTTTTTGGAGTTTTAGGGCTCTTTTTAGAGCTTTAGGGCTCTTTTTGAAGTCTTGCAATCATGCCCCAACCAGAGAATTTTCATTTTCCATGACCTTAATGAAAAAATCTCAACTGGAAGGCTTTTTTTGATTTTTTTTTTGATCGTCTCCAGGATTTTTCTGTTTATTTGCGCAAAAAAATAGCCTTTTCTCGTTTCTAGTTTGGTCCTCTTGATCTTTAGGACCACTTCTTTCCGGATTGAAGAGCCGAGTTTCAAAAAAATTCAAAAATGATTGATTTTCATCGTTTTTAATTTTTAAATGTCGTCAAGAACAGATTTTCGACTTTCATACTGGAAAAAGAGAGCATCAAATATTTCCTACATAGTATATGCATGTGGTCGCACTTGGAATGGATTAGCGGGGCTCTCCCGACCGAAAACGACTTGCGCCTTTGAGCATAGTAAAAGCGAGCTGCTGGTTTTTCCCTGCAACCAAATATTTTAAACTCGCCCGACCAAAAACGAGTTGCGCGTTTAAGAATAGAAGTAGTGAGCTTTTTCCTCTGGGAACCAAAGATTTGAACTCACCCGACCAAAAACGGCTTGCGCCTTTGAGCATCTCAAAAGCGAGCTGTTGGTTTTTTTTTTTCCTGGAACCGAATATTTTAAGCTCAGACGACTAAAAACGACTTCCGCCTTTGATCATAGAAAAAGCGAGCTGCTGGTTTTTCACGGAAACCAAACATTTTAAATTCACACGACCAAAAACGGCTTGCGCCTTTGAGCATAGTAAAAGCGAGTTGCTTTTTTACCCTAGAACTAAAGCTTTCAAACTCACCCGACCAAAAACGACTTGCGCGATTAAGAAAAGAATAACGAGCTAAATTTTTTTCTTCTTCTTGGAACCATTGCCAAACTTTTGAGCCATTCCACGTGCGACCATTTTCGATTAGCTTTAAAGGAGTTATGCTCGAATTTCTAGCTTTCTTGACACAACATAGGGCCCATTCCATAGTATTCATTCGACCTCGTTCGAATCCGCCACTTGAACATTTGTACCCTTGAAAAACCTCCATCGACACTTGTTTCGGGGTTGATTGCGACCAATTACGGTGTGAGAATGTCCCTTTTTGATTGGCTGCCACTTGGTTTTCAGGAAATCTCCTCACTTGTTTGGATTTTCCTTACTTCTGAATGAAGTTTCAAACCTTAATTTTTTCAATTTTCGATTTTTCAATATTCATTCCGTCACTGGAGGCTAGCAAAGTTCAATTTTTGACTTTTTTGGATTTTGTCCAAGATTTTTAGAAAATTTGCAACCTTTTCCGACGTTTTCGAGATGATTTTTGTTCTGTAGAAATTTGAAAAATCCTCTTCAAATTTCCGAAAATCTCGTTCAAATTCTCTACATACTATTGCTTCTAAATCGAGTTTTTGAAACGAATTTTTTTAATTTTTTTCAGATTTTTTTAAATATCGAAAATGCTGCTTAAGGCTAGAAAAAGCAGTAGGTGTCCTTTTTGAATTTCCAAAAAAAGTCGGAAAATGGATTTTTTTCCAAAGATTTATCCCACTCTTCTCGCACATTTTTTTCAAATTTCTGAAAGTTTTCAATAAATTTCCAGTTTCTCTGTTTTTTTTTCTGTCTGGAGTCGTTTTTTCCGAGAATCGGGCCAGATTTGAATATTTTTCCATTTTAAAAACTGCTTTTGACGTTTTTTTTTCTCGATTTTGCCCAAATTCGCGTTTTCTTGACCTCCACCATTTTTCCCATTCAAGGAATGAAATTGGCGTGATCCGTCTGAAAAATGCTGGTAGCGGTGACGTCACATCCGGCGAAGCCCAAGCCGCTGCCCTCGTCGACGTCATCATCGTCGGCGACGCCGCAATCGCCGCCGGTGACGCCGCGAAGCCTCCGAGCGAACGTTGGAGTCGTGGCTCGTCGCCAACCGACGCATCTCCCACCTTCCCCCAAAGCCAATCGTTCGAATCGCATCGCGAAGCCGACAGTCGCGACAGCGACAACGACGAATCTGAATTCCTCGGTGCCGTCGTCGCCGACGTCGCCGGGCGTTACGCGATTCCGCGTCAATGGAAAAGTGGTCCGAGTGGCGGCGATGCGCCATTCGGCCTACTGTGAGTAGTCATGAGGGTTGATGAAACGCGACTTGACAGTTTTCACGTACTCCAAACATATGCCCTCGTCTTTGATTGGCCCTTCAAGGCTTCTTTGGAAAAGTAAAAAAGACTGTCTGACTTTTCTGCGCTCTCTTCTCTCTCTTCTCCCTCGTAAAGTCCGACTTGACAGTTTGTCTGCGTCTCTCTGTTCCCTCACGCCAGAAAAACGTGGAAATAGCACGTAAACATGAGAGAGACGTCGAGTGATGAGGAGGGCGCAGAGAGGCGCGAAAAACGGACTATAACGAGAAGTGGTCAAGCTGTATGAGTCACTGTCTTGCTGGACAAGCAAAAATGACTAGGAGAAAGAGAACAGGCAGCCTTGAGAGACGCCAGAGAAGTCATGTTGATCTTTTTCTCTGCCTTTGCTCTAGGAAGTTAAATTTTGAATTTTCAGAGTATAGGATCTTGAAGAGAGAGAATAGGTGGTTTGAAGAGGCAGCAGAGAAGTCGATGTTTTCTTTTTCTCTGGTGTCTCTTCAGGCGGCTCTGATCTCTAACTATTTTGGTTTTTTAAACTTTATATTTGAAAATGAGAGAACATCAACTGTCTGAAGAGACGCCAGAGAAGTCGATTTTTTCTTTTTCTCTAGTGTCTCTTAGGGCCGCCGTTGATCTATCGCTTTCTAAAATAGCCGGAAAATCAAGGGTCGGCATTACCGAAACTATGAAAAACATGGAAAAAGTTAAGTTTTCTTTATTTTAAAGGGTTTCGTTTGCAGATTCGTCATCTGATGAGGACGACAGCCTTTTTGGCTCGACTGGTCGGCCAACTTTGGGAAGATCGAGCCGGCGAAGAGGCTCCAATACTGGTTCTGGGTCTGGACTTTCTAGAGGTAGATTGATTTTTCAATTTTGGAATGATCTGCAGAACTTTTCTAGAAATCTTATCAAAGTTTTGTGAAAGAGGGCTTTTCGAAACACTATCTAGTACATTAAGGAACGTTCTAGTCTTTTTTTCCGGACTGAGAACACCCTTTTTGAAAAAAATATTATCCTGTTTTTCCTTTTGGTTTGAAGCAGAAGTTCAGGTAAAAAAAAATCCATCTAGCTTTTTTTTTAAAGTAGCATCAATACACAAGGTGCAGAATAAAAAGAAAAAAGTCTACCTTCTGAAGTTTCGACGTTCTTTTTTCCTGTTCATAACACTTGCCTCGTCCTTTTCTTTCCGTACAATTACCACTTGGAGGAAAAATTACCGGTTCCCTTTCTGCTAACCGCAACAATTACCTTACCTCTCTACAAGGCCCCTGTCATTCAACCCCCGGTTTCCCCCTTTCAACGAGATACCTTTCACAATCTGTCACTTTTTTTTTTTGGTAACGCCCACGTGTTAGTCATGCCTGTTTTTGTGGTGTTAAAATTGATTTAGTTTGGCTGAATATTGTGAAGAAAATGCGCTCTTTGGACACATTTTGTAAACAGTTCTCACGGTTTTTCATAATGCATTTATAAACAGCTTTGAAGCATTAGAAGGAAATAGCTATATAAGGGGAGCAAAGGGCGCTCTGCTGATAGTTTCACGAAACTTTTTTTTGATGACATTTTACTCTTCAAGTTTTTTGGTTTTGCTTTACACTGTTTTATTGCAATTAAAATACCTTTGTTCTGAGGAAAAGCGTATTTTTACTCCCAAAAAATAACCAGGACTACTATTTCACCACATAGGCCTCTAGAAGGAAAAGGCGCATTAAACGAAGAAAGTGCGCCCTAATGATAATTTGACGAAAATATCCATTTTTATTGCTTTTTTCTGTCAAATTACTGATTTTTTGATACATTTTTTGTGCACTATCGCAATCAGAACACTTCTGTTTTACCACATAAGTTCCTGAAGAAAAATGGCTCATCAAACGAAGAAAGTGCGCTCCACTGAGAATTTCAGGAAAATACTTTTTTTTTGTTTTATTTTCACGATTTAGCGTATTTTTCACTCTCCCAAAGTAATCAGCAGACCTCGATTTCACCGCTCCAGGAGAAAAAGCTTATATTTCTAGAGAAGGTCGCTCGAACTGAAATTTCGCGAAAAAAAAGCTAGATGGTGGTGCTTTTTCCCATTTTTTTTTTACCAAATCGATTTTTTGTTGTTTTCTACTACTATTTCACAATCAGGAGTTATCCATATGAACACATAGCCTTCAGAAAGAAGAGGCTTAAAAAATGGGAAAAGCGCGCCCTACTGATAACTTTACCAAAAAATCACTTTTTGATTGCCTTTTTTCTTGGTTTTGCGTACTTTTCACTTCTTTAGAGCACTGAGAAGACCTCTGTTTCATTAAACGCCTCCAGAAGAGAAACGGTTAATAAACGGAGAAAGTGCGCCCTATTGAGAATTTCACAAGAATATCCATTTTTATTTCTTTTTTTTCTTTCAAGTATCTGATTTTTGGTACCTTTTTCTACTCTTTTGGAATCAGAAGACCTCTATTCCAACACAATTAGAAGACCCCTCTTCAAACTCACAAGAGGCTCTGAAAATGGAGAAAGTGCGCCCTACTGAGAAATTTACAAAATATCAACTTGTGATGTTTTAAAAGAGATCTTTCTTTATTCACTAATGAAATAGTACATTTTTTCTTCAAGTTCTTGGTTTTTCGTACCTTTTTGTGCTCTTTTGCAATCAGAAGACCTCTATCCCAACACATAGCCTCCAGGAGGGAAAAGGCTAAAATTGAATTCGGTTCGGTGGTCGTCCCGATTTCTCATCGGGGCACACGCAGAATCCAGGGCCCGAGATCGCTTTATCTGGCAACCAACCGCACTTTTCTTCTTCTTCTTCTCCTTCTTCTTCTCCCCCTTATGCTATTTCCCGCTGTTTTCAGATTATTTGCATGCTTTCACCGGCTTTTGTCTCGTTTTTCTTGTTCCATCACACCTTCAAGTCGTGATTTATCTTTGATAATGGGATTTATTAACCTATTTGGCTTGGATCTATTTGAGTAAATATCATCTTTGATTGGTTTTTCCGTACTCTTCTCTATTCTTCCGTCTCTGTTCTCCACATAGGCTGCGAGAAGCTCAAAATTTGAAGAAAGTGAGCCCTATTGAGAATTTTACGCAAGCATCAGCTTTTGATGGAAAACCTTCTAGGCTTGAATTTTTTAAGTAGGAAGCTTTAAAGAATCAAGAATTTTCCAAAATGAGACCCGGATTTTCGAACTTTGCAGAAAGTGCTCATGCCATTGAATTCCACACGTTTAGTGCTTCTGATGAAATTTGTTTCGATTTTTACTCGATTCATTTCTTTTTCTTTTTTTTATGCTACTACTGGGAGCCCTAGAGGCTCGCCAAGGACTACTTGGAGAGGACACTAAAGTGGCCACTAAACCCACCTCTATATTGGCCACTATTTTACGTTTTAGTGGCTTCTTCAGTAGTTTTTCATCCAGTATTCCTTCCAGTAACTCTGATAATTTTAAAACAAACATTTGAACCAGTTATGTTGATCCCATTGACCCCTAAAGTGGCCACTAAAATTTTTAGTGGTCTAGTAGTAGCACTTAGACCTCTATAGTGGCCACTAATTTTTAACCCCTTAAATGGTCACTAATTTGACTTCTATAGTGGCCACTAAAACGTCAAAACCTTATGGTGGCCACTGAAAAGTTTCCCAGTATGTCTTGAGGCACATCTCAAGAGTTTATATTACTTTTTTAACGAAAAATTTTGTATCATAAAAATCTGTGAGGCTCTTTTTTCCCCGTGCAGATGTCCGCAAATTCGTGTCCAACATATTTTTAATGAGATTTCGGAGTTTTTTATGCAATTTATGAAGGTTTAATTCAAGTTCTGCGGACGTGGCGGCACTTGGAATGGCTCAAATCGTTTTTTTCGAAGTCGTTTCAAGTCGGTTGCGCCTTGAGCCATTCCAAATGCGACCATAACATTCTAATCAGGAAAATTTTAATTTTTTCGATTTTTTTCGAATCTTCATTTTTCCATTCATTATTGAGCTCTTATGAGAATGATCTTTGAATGTTTAGAAAATTTTGGGAACTTTGGGTTTTTCGATTTCGGTGATCAATGAAGTGTGTGAATTACCTTTTTTGGATCAAAAAATAGAAATTTTCAAGTGAAATACGGCAAAAATCTACATAGAAAAGTCCTTCTGCTTCTAAAAATCTTTCTTAAATTTCATCGATTGCAGGCGACTCCAACCGTGTGCCGACGACGACGAATGGCGTAGGCCGCAAGGAGGAAACGCCGGAGACGTCGCGCGTCCGTCAGAATCCTGCCCCGCCGACGTCTTCCTCGACGACGACGACCAACATCGACGGCTCTTCTACGGTTTCCAGTGACGTCGGTGGCGCCGCCGTCGAGGCGATGCTTCGGCGCGTTCAGCAGAATCATGACTATTGTGAACAGGTAGGAGAAGAAGAAGAAAGGGAATTTGGCTCTTCAATGGAGTTGTTGTATTGATGTGTTATGATGGAAAGTATGAGTGTATGAAATTTTTGAAAATAAAAAGGGAAATCAGCCAAAATGTTAGAGATTATACGCTCCATTGAGAAAATAGCTACTCTGAGATTTTTAGGGGCTCTCAAAAAGAAAAAAAAGTAAGTTTTGTATTTTATTGTCATGATTGGTAGGATAGGTTAATAAAAAATCCTTTGTGACAAAATTAGGAAATCTGGCCGAATTATCTGAGCTTACGCGCTCCATTGAGAAATTTATTTTTTTTTGAACTTTTTAGAAGGTTTCTAAGGAAAAAGAGAGGGAAATAGACTGTTCTGTGAAAATTTTGTATTGATGTGTTGTGGTGGGGAGGTATAGAATTTTGACGGAAATATGAGAATATGTGGCCAAAATTTTTGAGCTTACGCGCTTTATTGAGAAGTAGATTATTATAAGGTTTTTCAAAAGAGATTTCAGAGGAAAAAAAAAAGATATCAGTTACAGTGTTGAAATTATCTGTTTTAAGATTTTTTAGGAGGAATTTGTATGAAAAGTAAGCTCAAAATTAGGCTTCTAAAAAAATTTTTTCGGAAGGTTGTTACGTTAAATGGCTGAACTTTCCAGTGGTTTCGCGCTCTATTGATAAAGTCTATTTTTCTCTCAACTCTGGGCGTTTTTTTTTGACCAATATGTTACTCTTTCGATTTTTACTGATTAAAAGTTATTTAGAACCGACGGGACTATGGAGATTACGTGCCGGCGAGGATGCGTCCAAACGTCCAACCGACGTCGAATGTCAAAAGACAGTCCCGACAAGACTACAGGAATAGTCGGATCATTGTCACCGACGACGACGCCATCCGTATATCGCCCCATCGAGAGGTGCACATTTTATTCGTTTTAGAAAGACAAAAATCGAAAAAGATCTCCTTTTTTTCGTAACAACCCCGGAGTTATTGTTTTTCTTGATTTTTTAGATGAAAAATGAAAAAAAGGTTTTTTTGGCACCAATCTCGGGGTTACCGTTTTCCTTTTTTCCAGGGATAAAGGGGTAAAAAACGGGTTTTTTTTAGTGTCAACCTCGGTTCCATTTTTCTTGATTTTTTTCAAAGGAAGACATGGAAAAGGCTTTTTTGAGCTTTTAAGAAGTCCACGAAGAGTAAGCAAGATGGAAATTCATAGATCAAACCAAAAATCGAAAGAACAAAGAATTTACAAGAAATCCCGTAATTTTACGGGCTTATGTTGAAATTTCTCAAGAAGATGATAGGAGAAAAGTTTTTTTTTTCAAAATCGATTAAAATTCTTCCTTCTTGCATTTTTCAGGAAAAACTTTCGTTTCACGTGAACATTTACAATTGAAACTAGTGCTGGATAGTATTTTTTTTTTCTTCCAGGAGATCATGACGACGATCGATAGCGACGTCGACTATGACCGGGACAACGAGGCGGTCTACGTTAATACGGAAATCGGGTACACGAAAAATGAAAACTCCTCCCAGGACTACCAAAACGCAGTTCTTCGTTAGTGAATTTAGGAAATTCCAGGAAAGAGATTTGATTTTTCAGCCCTCAAAAAGCCGGCCAGGGTCTCTTCGATGATTCAGAACGTTGTCAACGCCTTGCAGGTGTGTTTTTTTGAATTTGGTGTCGAAATTTGGCCTTCCTAAGGAGATTGAGATCATTAGGTGCAGTTTTTTTAAAAAGTTTATTCCGAATTTGAATTTTTATAAATTGTCTTAATATCCTAAGAGGTCTTTTAAAAAGAAGAAGCTAAGGCTTCTCAAAAATTAAAAAAATATTTTATCTCATTTTTTTAAATGTAGAAATAGTTCATTTTGAAAACATTGAGCAACTGGGAAAATGTTTAGTGGCCACTATAGAGGCTCGCCAAGGACTGCTTGGAGAGGACACTAAAGTGGCCACTAAACCCACCTCTATAGTGACCAATGTTTTCCGTTTTAGTGACCACTATAGAGGTTCTCTATTTAGTGACCACTTCAGTAGTTTGTCATCCAGTATTCCTTCCAGTAACTATGATAATTTTAAAACAAACAGATTGCACCAGTTATGTTGATACATTGACCCCTAAAGTGGCCACTAAATTTTTTAGAGGTCTAGTAGTAGCACTTAGATCTCTATAGTGGCCTCTAATTTTAACCCCTGAAGTGGCCACTAATTTGACTACTATAGTGGCCACTGGAACGTTAAAAACCCTATACTGGCCACTAAAAATGTTCCTAGAATATTATAAAATATTCAAAGTTGCTCTGGAGGAACCACGGAACTGATTTTTTTGAAAAAATTTTCCGGAAAAAGGGAAATTTTTCGAATCGTACAGGAATTTTTCATTTCATTCGAAGATATTCATGGTCGTAGTCGTTTTTTTTTTTTAAATTTACTTATTAATAAAAAAATACTCTTCGATCAAAGTCAAAAGAACGACTCTTCTAGCATTACAGGGATCTTGTACTTTAGAAATGATTTTTTTGCGATTTTGAGCGCCCTTAACTCTTTCCAAAGACGTTTTTGGCGATTTTCAAGCTCAGATTTGGAATCAGCATTAAAAACTGTGTCTAGTGAGACATGTCTTCAGTTTTTTGTATGTAGTTTGATTATTCGGAACCATCGTACTGATGGTGAAAAATGATTTTCCTGTGTTAAATATCGAGAAGAGAACGAGGAACTCGACGTGTTTTCACTTTTTCCAGTGAATCCAAGAGCCGTAAAATGTTAATAGTCACTCAACGGAGATAATAAATCCGGTGGGATATTACTGCGAGGCACGGCATTCCGTTGAATCAAGGAGATTTTGGGGATTCAATTTTGGTTAGGTTGAAAGGGGGTTGGCCGCATTTGGAATGGCTAAAGAAGCTTCCGAAGTCTTTTTTGGGCTTGAGAAGGAAATATCACTCAAGCGTCCACTTGAAGTCTGAATCAGCATTTTCCAATGAGCTCTTCATGGAGAAATAAGCACTTTCAGAACCCCTTAAATGAACACTTCTTCCAAGTTTCCACTCAAGGGATCACTCTTGCATTTGTAATGGCTACAGACGTTTCGGAAGGCCTTTTTGGGCTTGAGAAGAAATATCACTCAAGTGTCCACTTGAAGTCTGGATCAGCATTTTCCAAAGATCGGCTCTTCTCCTCATTGTTAAATAAGTACAGAATCCCTTAAGTGAGCACTTAATGTTTCCTCCAAGTTTCCACTCAAGGGATCACTCTTGCATTTGGAATGGCTAAAGATGCTTCGGAAGTCTTTTTTGGGCTTGAGAAGAAGTATCACTAAAGTGTCCACTTGAAGTTTGAATCAGTATTTTCCAAAGATCGGCTCTTCCCCTTATTATTAAATAAGTACAGAATCCCTTAAGTGAGCACCTTATGTTTCTTTCCAGTTTCCACTCAAGGGTTCGCTCTTGCATTTGGAATGGCTAAAGATGCTTCGGAAGTCTTTTTTGGGCTTGAGAAGGGAATATCACTAAAGTGTCCACTTGCTGATGTCTGAATTAGCATTTTCCACTCAGCTCTTTCTCTTACTGTGGCCCTGGAGCATTTAAAGGATCCCTTAAGTGAAAACTTCTCCCAAGTTTCCACTCAAGGGATCACTCTAGCATTTTGGAATGACTAAAGATGCTTTTTTTGGGCTAGAGAGGGAAATATCATTAAAGTGTCCACTTGAAGTCTGAATCAGCATTTCCGCACTGACGATCCCTTCCCTTAAGTGACCACTTTTTCAAGTCGCTACTCAAGGGATCACTCAGATCTTTTCCCAGCTCTCTTCGAAAAATTTGGAAGTTTAGTGAAACCCTGAAGCAGACACTTCGCGCTAACTGCTCCAATTTGGAAATTTTTAAGTGGTCCCTTCAGTGGCAAGCCATCCAAGAGATTGTGGACCCTTTTGTAGACTCAGCTGTTAAGTGACCACTGTAGGAATTTTCGAAGAGTATTTTCCTGGGAGATTGTGGGGATTCAATTTTGGTAAGGTTGAACGGGAACTTGCCGCATTTGGAATGGCTAAAGTGCTTCGGAAGTATTTTTTGGACTTGAAAAGGAAATATCACTCAAGAGTCCACTTGAAGTCAGGATGAGCACGTTCCACTGATCTCTTCCTCTTACTGAGGATATCAAGCATGTTAATCCCTTAAGTGACCACTTTTTCAAGTCGCTACTGCTGCCATATTCAATCTTTGACGAATGTTGAATTGTAATGAAACCCTAAAGCAGACACTTCGCGCTAACTGCTCCAATCTGGAAATTTTTAAGTGATCCCTTCAGTGGCTTTTTGTAGACTCAGCTGTCAAGTGACCACTGAAGGACTTTTCAAAGAGCTTTCTTTTATGAAATGTCCTTTGAGAAGCTCGGTTGTTTTCCCTTAAGTGCTCACTCCCTCGAGAACCATCGAGAGAGAGGAAAAAAGAACGCGAGAATCGTTTGTGACGATCGAGGCGAAAGAGAGAGGCGGTGCCGTCGTCGTTTGCCTTGTTGCAGCTGGTCTGCCTCGCTGCAGCGCGTCGGTCGGAAAGGCAGGCCCCCTCTCTCCGCCGCTGCCGCCGGTTGGTTTGACCTGAACTTCAAATAACAGCTGACTGACCGCGGCGCGAGAGGCCCCCGGCTGTATCAACGCTTCTTCTCGTTGTGATAACGGCGGTGGTGGCTCTCCTCTCCGGCCGCCGCCGCCCGCCGACCTCATTATCCACCTCGGCCCAATGTTATGATTGCACCTGCGGAGCTTTGATCTGATCCCGTCTCATTTGTTTTTGTTTGGTTTGGAAATATAGCTCTTTCATGATAACGTCGTACCTCCCAAGCCTTGGATTTTGGTTTAGCTTCCGATTTTTTAAGTGACAGTCAAGTCCTCAAGCTCCGCCCCCCTAATGACGCGATAAACCAATCAGAGCGTTTTCGAATGACGTCATTCTACTTGACATTCAAAATCTGACTATATTTGAGTCCGCCAATGTTATAACTGAACCTCAGGCTTCTTCAAAGCTCGTCTCATTTGTTTTTTTTTTGGTTTCTGAGATTTTTTGGCAACTTTTTTGCTCCTCATGCTCCTTTCAACGTTTCAGAAGCTATCCTTGATTCAAATCCAGTTCTGATGAAGACGTGAACCCTCTAGAGATCTGATACGTCCCATTTTTTTTGTTTGAAGAAGAGGTTTCTGAGATTTTTGCTCCCCATGCTCCTTTAAACATTTCAGAAACCATCCTTTTTTGGTTCAAATCAAATTTTGGGACTTCGATGAAGACGTGAACCCTCTAGATCTCATTCAGAAAATCATCCGTACTTTAAAAACGTCTCAAAAAGGCCTCATTTTCATAAAACCTTCGGCAATATTATGATTGGACCTCCTTCTTTTCATCTCATCCAACAGCTTTGATCTGATCCGTCTCATTTTTTTTTTTGTTTGGTTCGGAGGTTTCTGAGATCATCCCTGGAAAACCTGGAAAAATAGCTCTTTCATGATGACTTTATACCTCCAAAGCCTTGAATTTTGGTTTAGCTTCTGATTTTTTGAAGGCCTTAAGGTTACTCGAGTCCGGCAATGTTATGATTAGACACCAGTTTTCTTCAAAGCTTTGATCTGGTCCGTCAAATTCGTTGTTTTCATTAGAAGGTTCAGTTTGTCGAAAAGCTGACTTGTATAGTCCATTCATTACCATTTCTAGTGTTTATAGGCGCTGACGGGCTTTTTTTTTCACTCCCTAGACATCTCTGAATTACTCAGAAGGTCATCTTTCTACCATTGGTGCTTCAAAAAAGGCGTAAACCTTTTAGAGTTCATCCAGAAAAGCATACAAACTTTTTTAAAATGCCTCGGACATTGGTAACGCGAAACGGACGTGCTCCGGACGTTTCTGGGCGATTCTAGGGATCCCTTAAGAGTTCTGAGGCTACTAAAGTGGTCACTAGAAATGCCCCGACACGTCCGATTTGCGTCCCGTTCGCGTTACCAAGGTCTGAGGCTTTAAAAAGTCTCATTTTCATAATAACCCTCTTCGCCTCGCTTTGATCTGATCAGTGTCATTTTTTGGATACCTCATTTTTATATTTTCTTTCCACATATTTTTTTTTTTTTGAACCAATCTTTGAAATTTTGGTGATTTTACGCAGCATTGCCTTGGTATCATTATCCTGAAAGCTAGATCAAATTTTTCAACTTCAAAATTGAAGATTTTTTTATAGAAATTAATGATTTTGTTTGGCTTTTTTAAAAAAATGTCTCTGCTTCTCTTAAGGCTCCTAAACGTTATCTGTGACAAGCTGAATCATGTTCAGATTTCAAAAAAAAAAAAAATATTTGTTTCCAGAACCTTTTTGCGGCCACCAAAGGATTCTGTTGAAATCGATTTTGTCGTTTTTTATTCTTCAGAAAAGTTCGTCTTTTCGTAATACTATTACTATAGAACGACACGTGTGAAAATCGTCGAATCGGAAACGGCGGAAATTTCGAAGAGAAGAAAAAGATTGCGGAGGCGTTTTTTTAATTGAAAAAAGTTTGTGGTCGTCGTCCTTCGATGATCATATCGGCGTAGGGTTTTTTATAGTTTTTAGGAAGATTTTTCTCGAAATTAGCAATGGAGCGCACAAAACCTTTCATCGTTGGTCTTTTTTTGAAAAACCGCAGTTTTGCTGCATTTTTTTGAATTTATTCATCAACTTTAGCATTGTGGCGATTGAGAAAATTCTGAAGAAGATATAATTTTTGAACTGGCTATTTTTTTACTATTAGCAAAAAGAAGCCGCCATCTATTTTTTTATAGTTTTTTTATACCTTTTTTTAATAGTTTTTTTAGGCAGATTTTTTTCTCGAAATTAGCAATGGAGCGCACAAAGTCTTCAAATTTTCAAGGCTGTTTTTTGAAAACCTCAGTTTCGCCGCATTTTTTGAATTTGATCAACAACTTTAGCATTGTGGCGTTTGAGAAAATTCTGAAGAAGATATAATTTTTTTTAGTTAGGTCACATTTTTTGCAATAGCACTTCTTTCACGGGGAAAATCAGCATTAGAGGTTATTATTCCAATTTTTAATGTGGCGGGGGGCTTTTAATAGCTAGCTTGAGACGCTGAGGGGTGTGACTTGTCTGCGCTCTCCACCAACTAGGCACTGTCTCTTTTTCATCCTGTCAGGACCCATTTCGATGGCTCAAGGCAGCCGTGAATCATCTACAGCCTCGGAACCTTATAAGGACTATTTTCGTGTACTTCAGTTGGACCTCTCTATTTGTAGTTGACCTCACCACAAAAACTCAATCAATGATATCGAGTGGAACGAATCGCCGCCGAGCCTCCTCTCCACTCCCCCATTTGGGTGTCAACAAATGTTATATATTCCTCATCTTTTTGGACTCTTTTCCCGGGTTTTTTCGAGCAGATTACCTGGTTTTCTTAGTCCTTGGCTCGATCAGCGTTTTTTCTATATTTCTTGGTTTTTTGCCGATTTTCCTAGTTTTTTTCTGAGACCTACATTTTTCGGCGAATTTTCCGAATTTTTCCATAGTTTGATCATAGATTTATTACCTTTTTTTGGCGAATCCAGGATTTTTGAAGTAGTTTTGAATATTTTTCTATCTTTTTCCGGTAAATCTACAGTTTTTTAAAATTCATTTTCCTCGATTTTTGATATTCAATTTTCTCTGGGCGAATTTTCGAGATTTTTCAGACTTTGAACCATAACTTTTGGGCGATTTTTCTTAATTTTCGAGTCATTTTTCTGATTTTTCGCCAGGTTTTCTTGAGCTTTTTCGGCCTTTTTCAATTTTTCGTTTTGAGCCGTTTATGAAGCTATTTTGTTCATTTCAAGCCGCTTTTTTCGACTTTTTTCGTACTTTCGTATTGTGGTTTTGATCCACATTGGCGACGGCGAAGAAAGCTTTTCCGACGCGGCCGCCCTGGAATTATGGGCAATCAACGTCTTTTTTTTTCTCATCTTCTTCACTTTTCTCTCTTTCTTCTCAAGGTTTTGTGACGTTGAAGACGGTTTTTCGTTGAGGTTTTGGAGGCTTTACAACGATAAAATTTGAAAATCGGAAAATTCGGCTCGATTTTTAGCTGAAAGTCGCATAAATGCTCAAGCTCGTGGAAGTGAAAAACAGCCTCGAAAACTGAATATTGTGCGCTCTATGGCTAATTTATCGAATTTGGATTCTCTTGAGTCAAATTCTCTTGATATCAGTTGAGCTTTGAAAATTTCAAGACAATGGTGAAAAAATAGCCTCGAAAATTGAATTTTGTGCGCTTTATGGCTAACTTTTTGAATTTGGATTCCCTTGGATCCTCTTGAGTCAAATCTCCAATATCAATTGAGCATGGGAAACTTCAAGATCTTGGAAGGGGAAAAACAGCCTCAGGAATTGAATAATGTGCGCTCTATGGCTAAACCTTAAAATTTGGATTCCCTTGATATCAATCGAGCATGGGAAACTTCAAGATCTTGATAGGGAAAAAATAGCTTCGAAGTTTCAATTTTGTGCGCTCTATGGCTAATTTTTCGAATTTGGATTCTTTTGATATCAATTGAGCTCAGGAAACTTCAAGATTCTGATAGTGAAAAAATCGCCTCGAAAATGGAATAATGTGCGCTCTATGGTTAATTCTTTGAATTTTCGAAATTCCTGAATGAAAAAACCTCGACAATCTCAAAATTTGATCCAAATTCAAAATTATCGTTTTCAAAATTCTTTTCGGAACTGATCTTGCTTTTTAAGAAGACTGGAAATGGAAGAAGAAATCCTGATATTCATCCTTTTTTTCCTCAAAAGCTCCCTTTTCAATCTTTTTCGGCTTGTCCTCCCCCTTGCAGGGAAAAGCTTTGACCGGCCGGCCATTGTGTGCATTTATTTGAACAGTACGCCTTCTGTTTTGCCGCCTCCTCTTTTTTTTTTCCTCGTCTTCCCCTCGTTTCAAAGCTTCTTGGTCAGGTTCCGGGCGTCCTTCGAAGATTGTTAATCGCTTCCTACGTCTTTTTCTCGGCTTTTTGCTGTTTCACTGGGTTTCTGGTATGCTTGGAAGGAGAGCAGGAAAATTTTTAGTTTGGAAAAAATAGCCATAATAGAAAAGCTCTGAGATTTTACTATGACAGGATCAAGAAAAATACGAAATTTAGATGAAAGAGACAATTTATTCAGATTCCACCAAAAGATGCGATTATCCATAGAGCATACTTGTTCCAGAAAAGACGGCTTTATTTTCCAAATTTTTTTTTGAATCCTCTCACTTACGGCTCACTATGGGAAATTTGGATTTTCTACTTTAAAAAGTGTTTTTTTAAGGATTATCCGTGGAGCATACTTGCTTCAAAAAAAGACGGCTTTATTTTGCAAATTTTATTTTTGAAGTTTTTCTACTAAGGTTTTCTATGTAAAACTTGGATTTTAATCTCCAGAAATTCCTTTTTTTACGAAAAATTATCCATGGAGCGCACATACTTCTCAGAAAGAGCTGTTTTTTTTTTCCCAGTATTGTCCGTGGAGCACACATTCTCTTCAGAAACGGCTGTTTTTTTCAAAGTTTCCTTACTGCATTTTTCATCATTTTTTTTAGCAATCTGAATTTTCGCGGCTTATTCTTCACATCTCCCTTTATTTATTTATTTCCTGACTTTAAATGGCAGTTGATCATCCGCCAGACGTCCTCCCCTCACTTGTGTAAACAATCTTTTCGCGACATTTCATTCATAATTCGACGTTCCAATTGCAGTACTATCGTTGCAGATCAGGCAAACAAACTGTAATTGCATGGAATGGCTTCGGACGCGTCGCCGTACGCCGTCGGACGCATCTGCTTCCCAAGCCTCGCGCTCCGAAAAACGGCCTACTCGCGACAGACGCCAGCGTCGCGGAAACACTCCAGCGAGAACCACAGAGACTACCTGGCGGCCCTTCATTCGCGCAAAGCCGCGTCGCTCAAGGAGAAGCGAGCCAGGGCTGCGGCTGTCGAGCGACAGGCGAACAGCAACGCGAGTCTCACGTCGCTCATGATGTCGCCCTCGTGCAGCTCCAGCGATTTCGGATCCTCGCCGACCGTTCCCGCTGTCCCAGCCTTCCTGCATCACACCCAGTCGGCGAGGCCCGAACTCCAGCGACAGCGACAGTATTACCACGTTTGCGAGCCGTCCTACGGCGACGAGGAGAATAGCACCGCCGACGACATCGCGGCCACCATCGCCTCATCCTTCCAACACTTCCGCCTCAGAGACTCTTCTTCGTCGTCGTCCCCTAGGCGACATCGCCCAATCTTCCAGGCTTCCTCCTCGGTCGAATCCGCAAGCTCGGCGAGTTCAATCTTCGCCCAGGCCTTGAGAATGACCGCTTCGACCTCACATCCCTGCCTGAAGGTTCTAGAAAGCCCTGAATATCGGGCTCCCGCGGACCTGGAAGACTGCCATTATTACTCGCAAATTTCGGCGATTCCGCGGACTGGGTCGGCAGAAGATGTGGTCTTTCATACTAGTGATGACCTGCGGATCGGGTCGAGGCATGGCGTCAAATTCAATAAATGGAGACTTGCGGCTGCATCCAGGAAAGCCGCTGTGAGGATCGAGGAAACGGTTGGTTTTTATTTTTGGGGGAAGAATTGGAAAAGAAGTTTCAAGGAATTTTACCATTGGAATACACGTTTTTTTGAAGAAATCAAAGGCTACCTCTGAACATTTTCCCTTGACTTGGATTTTTCTGCTCGCATTTGGAATGGCTCAAAGCGTTGCGGTCGTGTCGCGGCTCAAGTTTCCCCTTGGTGTTCTCATTTTCAAAGCAGTTAACTAGGAAATTTGAGAAAAAGAGAAATGAACCGATAAAAGTTGACACAGCGATTTTTCCAAGTGCAAGTGTGCTCCGCGGTAAATTTCAAATTTTAAAGCCTTTTCTCAATTTTTTTGCTCTAAGATTTTCGACAAAAGGGAACCAAAAAAGTTGACACGGCGATTTTCTCAAGTGCAAGTGCGCTCCACCGTAAATTTCAAGGTTTATAGCCTTTTCTTTAATTTTTTTGCTCTGTGACTCTTAAAAAATCAAGTTTCAAGCTTGTTAACTGAAAAATGGCTTTTTTTTTCAATTTTGCAACCGCAAGACCTGAAATTTGGGCATGTGCGCTCCATGGTGAATTTCAAGTTTTAAAGCCTTTTCTCAATTTTTTTGCTCTGTGACTTTTAAAAAATCAAATTTCAAGCTTGTGAACGGAAAAATGGCTTTTTCTTTTGAATTTTGCAACCGCAAGACCTGAAATTTGGGCATGTGCGCTCCATGGTGAATTTCAAGTTTTAAAGCCTTTTCTCAATTTTTTTGCTCTGTGACTTTTAAAAAATCAAATTTCAAGCTTGTGAACGGAAAAATGGCTTTTTCTTTTGAATTTTGCAACCGCAAGTCCGGAAATTTGTCAATTTTCGTCGTCGGAATTCGACCGGATATTTATTTCTTTTGCTCGGCTTGCAAGCCGACAACATTTGTGCTCAGGAATGCGGTAATAAACCGGGAGAAGGGAATGTTATCCGCCTTTTTCTTTCTCTCCGGCAAAAGATATTTGTTCGAATCATCAGTCATTTGAAAAAGCTTCTCCCCGTGTTGAAAAGTGTATGATGTACACCTGCTGATGTTGTGTTGTTAGAGCTGCCCCCACGACGAGAAGCAGTTGCACTTTTAGTTTCTTCCCGAGTGAGAGAAAAAAGTAGAGGCTTGAAGGTTTCGAAATAAGGGACATAGACCTTTGTTACGATATAAATATGGTCAGAACACTTATTTATGTACCAAAAAATATTCTGAAAGTCTTAAGGTCTTCCAATTCTCACTAGGGCATAGGCGCCCCTCAGACAACCGAGAAAAGCTCGTCGAAATTTTTCCGGAGCGTATATGACCGCGCTCGAAGCCTTCCTCTAGCTTCTGGCGGCGTGGTGTAGTGGTATAGGTCTTGTACACTCATTATTGTGACCAGGGTTCGAATCCATTTGACGTTAGATTTGAGTTTTGAGGGCTGAAACCCCCAAATGGGTTTTGAGGGTTTTCATGGACTTTGAGGTGTCCTTTTTTGGGGTGGTTGAGACTTTCAAAATCGTCCTTTGGTACATTCTACAAGCTTGTCACGATTCTAGCCTGACAAGGTTTTTTTCGAAATTTGCTTGGGATTTTATTGAAAATTGATGCTCCTTGATGTATCAAAAGAAGATCCTAAAAAAATTTCTACCTGACCCCCTCCCCCAAAAAAATAATTGCAGGACAAGAAAAAAAAGCGTTCTACAGTCAATAAAAATCCCCGAAATCCGTTAAAATTGGCTATTTTGGAGTTTTAAGGCTCACTTTCTCAAAAACTAGGAAGTTTTGCAGCTGTAGACTTCCAGGATCTCTTCCTGTTACCTAAATAAATTTTTCGGCGAATTTCGAAAAAGCGTTAAGAAAAATGACCACCCTTATGAAGCCCAAAAATTTCCGTTTTATTAAAGGCGCATAGGCGCGTATCGAGAAATGAGTCTTGGAGAATGGCTCGATTTTCAAATTTTTTGAAGGAAATGAAGTTTTTTTTTGATGTGATACGTCTCACTTTGACGCTAACATACGGAAAGTTGTCACTGAAAAAAGATTTTTTTCAAAGTAGAATCAGGATATTATTTTTGCCTAAAGGACAGAGAAAGCTAAGAAAGTAGATTAAACTCAAAATAATGCGAAGCTTGAGTCAGCCTTGAAACACATTTCAACCTTTGACGTCTACTTATTTTTATTTTTTTTTTGGCTGTTTTTTCTTTAAGTAATGTAACTTAGTGTAACTGGGAGAAGCTATAGAAATGCTGTGAATATCGATTTTTCACCTCGTTTATCTATAGAGCGCACTTGTAGGCAGCAATGTGACGCTTATTTATTTTAATTTTTTGACATCTATTTTTTTCTTTGAGCTTTTCTTTCAACTTGTTGTAACTGGGAGAAGCTCTAGAAATGCAGAGAAAATCGACTTTTACCTGGTTTATCTATAGAGCGCACTTGTAGACAGCAATTTGAGCCGCCAACTTTTTTTTTCATTTTTTGACATATATTTTTTTCTTTGAGCTTTTCTTCCAACTTGGTGTAACTAGGAGAAACTCTAGAAGCAGAGAAAATCAATTTTTCCCCTGGTTTATCTATAGAGCGCACTTGTAGGCAGCAATTTGAGCCGCCAACTTTTTTCATGCTTCGCTAAAATTTCCAAATACTATTGACAAGTGGCAAAAAGCAAAAAGTGAAATTGGATATCCGACTGCCGAGGTGACGACTGTTTTTTCCGAGGTGTTTGGTGTGGATTTCCAACGATTTTTCTTCTTTTATTTATTTTCGAAAAATGGTGGACTTTGTATTTCGTTCGACTAGACTGTTCTGAAAACCTCGAAAATCTGTTTCCATGCATTTTGGAACGCAACGAGGAAAAATTTTTGACCGAAAAAAAAAGAAAAAAGCCGGGGCGACGACGTGAAACATCTGTGCGCTGGGGAGAATGGATATTTTATTTAACACTTGCTTTTTTCGAAACTTTTGGAAGGTTTTGGGGGGAATTTTTGAGGGAAGAATTGTTTTTTCTTGGTGAAATTTTCAATCAATAATGATACTTTTTACTTTTCGAAAAGGTTTTTGGAAGATTAGAGAGGGAATTGAAAGCTTTTTCTTCAATTATAAGACCTAGAAGCCCTGAAAAAAATGATTTATAGTAAAAAAATAGATTTTTGAAAAAAATTTTTGTGAAAGAAAAACAGTTTTTTTGGTGAAATTTTTCAATCAATAATGATACTTTTTTTACTTTTTTTGAGGGGGTTTTTGAAAGATTAGAGAGGGAATTGAAGGCTTTTTTTCTTCAATTATAAGACCTAGAAGTTCTGGAAAAAAATGATTGATAGTAAAAAAATGGATTTTCGAATGATTTTCTGAAAGAAAATATTTTTCTGTGTGAAATTTTCGATCAATAATGATATTTTTTCTCTTTTTACGAGGTTTTTTTGAAAGGGTTAGATTTGGAATTTTTAGACTTTATTCCAAAATTTTACGATCTAGAAGCATTGGAAAAAAATGATTTATAGAAAAAAATGAATTTTTGAAAAAAATTTTGTGTAGGAAAAAAATAGTTTTTTGGTGAAATATTTCGAATAATAATGATATTTTTTTCTCTTTTACGACTTTTTGAAGGGTTAATTTGGAAATTTTTAGACTTTATTCCAAAAATTTTACGATCTAGAAAGCATTGGAAAAAAATGATTTATAGAAAAAAATGAATTTTTGAAAAAAATTTTTGTGGGAAAAAAATGTTTTTTTGGGGAAATTTTTCGATCAATAATGATGCTTTTTCTTTCGTTTTAATGATTTTTTTGAGGGGTCAAAGAGGGAATTGAAGGCTTTTTTTAATGAATAATAAGATCTATAAGTCCCTGGAAAACCCTTCTAAAAGGCTGAACTTTCGAAAAGATTTCTGAAAAAAAAATTTTTTTCAATTTTTTTCCATGTTAAACCAACAGAATTTCCAATTAAATCCTTCTCCAAACACAAATTTTTCGAAATATTGATCAAACTGAAGGGAAAAAAAGAGTTCATTAGTCAGCTAGAAGAGCACCTGACCGTTGTCAATCACATGTTTGTTTGGAAAAAAAGAAAAACTACAGCGTTTTGGGCTTGTTTTCTAACGGAGAGAGAGCCGAACCCGCCAATCAAATTGATGTTTCGGCTTGCTTTTGACCTTTTTTTCGAGCCTAAAGTTTATAGTTTTATCCAGGAAAAACCTAAAATATTGAAAAATACTCGAAATCCTTGAGAGTCCTGAAATTTTTTAAGCTTCCAAGAAAAGAAAAAAGGGATGTGAGAAACTTGACAGATAATGAGAATTTGTATATTATGTTTTTGCCGATTTGCGAAGGTGGGACTTCTGTGCCAAAATTTAAGTGGCCGCTTTAGGGTTTGGAAGTTTTTGTGGCCACTATAGTAGTCAAATTAGTGACCACTTAAGGGGTTAAAAATTAGTGGCCATTATAGAGGTCTAAGTGCTACTGTTTTAAAAACTGTTTATTGCATCTTCAATGTAAGAGTACATGTGCAATCGACTTTCATTGATTTGACTGTGTTTAAACGGCGGCAGGAGCTGTGGCTTAGGCAGAGAAGTTGTGAATTTCGCTCGTAGAACATCAGGTACAAGAAAGGTCGTAGGAAGAAGTACGGTGCCGGCTTTCCAAAGGCCGATGGCAGAGAATGAGCCTTTTCGCTGCATGCAGCTCCCAATTTTATCTACCCCGGAGGGATGAAAGGCTTGGTAGACCTCGGGGGGACTCGAACCTACGACCTTGCGGACGTTAGAAATGAGTTATGCCAGCTGAGCTATGCCGCCCCCCCTCTACTACTAGACCAAAACTACTATAGTGGCTTCTACAGAGGTGCATTTAGTGGCCACTTTAGTGTAGTAGTCATCCAAGTAGACCTTGGGAGCCTCCTAAGTGGCCACTGGAGTTTTTTTTTGAGTGTTATCATTTTCCTTACCTTCTGGGAAAATTTTCAGTGGCCATTATAGGGTTTTGACGTTTTAGTGGCCACTATAGTAGTCAAATTAGTGTCCACTTAAGAGGTTGAAAATTAGTGGCCACTATAGAGGTTTAAGTGCTACTACTAGACCACTAAAAATCCTAGTGGCCACTTTAAGGGTCAATGGATCAACATAACTGGTCCAATCTGTTTGTTTTAAAATAATCCGAGTTACTGGAAGGAATACTGGATGAAAACTACTGAAGTGGCCACTAAATAGAGAACCTCTATAGTGGCCACTAAAACGGAAAATAGTGGTCACTATAGAGGTGGGTTTAGTGGCCACTTTAGTGTCCTCTCTGAGTGGTCCTTTTGAAACCACTCAAGTGGCCACTAGGGTTTTTCTGAGTGCTTTCAGTTTCCTTAGCTGGTCTGTAAAAACTGGACTCAATTTTGAGACTTTTTTGAAGTTTTAGGTATTGATAAACTTTGGAAAGTTTAATTGAACTTAAAGCTTCAAAAAACTCGAAAAAAGATAACCTGTTGATTTACCTGCGCTCAGAAAAAATGTTGTTTAATTGCTCGACAGTACGATGGGTTCCATTAGGAAAAAACAGGTTTCGTCTCTCTTTTTCTATCGCCTTTTCTCTGAAGGCCATGAATCATAAGAAGCGAAGAAAACGAAAACGACGTCGTTAAATCTGATGCTTTTTCAGCGGCCCAAGAGTAAACCCCTCCAAGAGTTCTACAACGACGATGATGCTGAACTGGAAGGTGACCTTTTTTAATTTTATAGGAAAAAAAGACGGAAATTGAAGCTTTTTCTGATTAAAATTTGCACTTTTTGACAAGAAATCGTTGCGGTTTTTGAAAATAACGTTGAAAAAAAGGCGAAAATTTTTCAGCTTTAGATTCACTTTTCCTGAGATTTGTACGGAGAAAAGGCGGCTTTGAAGCTCAAAAATTCATTATTTTTCGAAAGAAATAACATTTATTTTTTTTATCAAAAAAAGTGCAAAAAAAGAACAAAATTTGAGCTTCAGGGCACTCTTTTCAATAGCTTTACTGATAAAAAAATTAAAGTTTTCAGTTGGAAATTTGCCAAATTTTTTTGGGTTAAAAGACAATTTTTACAGCTTGAATCGGGTTTTTGGCTATTTAATGAAGGAAATTTTTTTGAGTAGAGCTTTTTTTACCACTTTTTATAGTGTAGGAAATGAGAAAAATCATTTTAGAAGGCAAAAAAGGCAAATTCCTATTATTTTCTAGTGGAAAAAGTCGGAATTTTGAGCTCTTTTGATAGTTTTACTGATAAAAATTGAAGTTTCAGTTGGAAATTTGCTAAGTTTTTGGGTTGAAGCCAACTTTTACAGCTTGAATCGGGTTTTTTTTGGCTATTTAATGAAGGAAATTTTTGAATAGAACTCTTTTTTCGTTTCTTTAGGAGGGAATGTGTACAGTAAACGAGAAAAAAATATTTTTTAAAGAAAAATGAAGATAATTTTCCATCAATTTTATCAAACTAGGGCAAAAAAGCCAAAAATTTGAGCTTCAGGGTACTTTTTCGATAGCTTTTACTGATAAAAATGGAAGTTTCAGTTGGAAAATCTGCCAATTTTTTGAAAGTAAAAGTCAATTTTCACACCTTAAATCGGGTTTTTTTGGCTATTTAATGAAGGAAATTTTTGAATAGAGCACTTTTTCTACCCAATTCAAGATGGGATGAGCTTGGGAAAAGAAAAAAAAGACATTTTTGAAGATCATGTTTAGCCATGGCCAAAATTCGGGACCCAAACGCGCCCCGACCTGAAGGAGCGCCGATGAACCCCGTCCGAGGAGAAGCTCTCCACAATACGACCTCGAATACGATGCCCAGGAGTGTGGATAGGTACCTGAATTCTTCTTTTTTCTGTCCTTGCCCTTTTATACATTTCCAAAAATCCACTCTTCGAGCTTTTCTCTTGAAGTGATTTGATTTATATTTTTTTCCAGTGCATTACACCGTTTTGGAACAACGTCGGCGAAAAGTATCGCCGCCATGCTTCTTGACCAAACCGCCAAGCCGTCTACTCAGATCACTTATGGTAAATAAATTTAATACATTGAACTGACCAGGAAATGGTCTAAACTCACATTTGGACTCCTGAAAATAAATAGGTGTATTTTTTACGCTAATTCCAAATCTGGCCTTAAAAGTTGCCACTGAGGTCTGTGAAGAAAGTTAAGGGCTCTATAAAGTCGAGAATTTCGTCTCCAATCGAGCTCATTTTGGTGGTTTAAAGATCCCGTCCTAGTGGTTACAAAAAAAGTCAATTATTTCTTATAATACAATCTTTAAGCCCAGATATGGTTTTCGAAGCTCCGCGCGTGATAATAGGATTGAAAAGTAAAAATACAAGCGTATATCTGAGAATCTTGTCAGTTTTTAAAAAAACTTATAACTGTATGACCTGTCTGCGCTCTCTTCTCCCTCAAAAATAAGACAAGAGGAACGTGAAAATAGAACGCGAACAGAGAGGTCAATTAGAGAGAAGAGAGAGCAGAGAAGACAGGTTCAAAATCCGAAATGAAGACAATTTCGAAATTTCCCGAAACTAGGCCATTCCACTTTCTGATTTTTCATAAAAAAAAACAGCGGAAAATAAAAAATTGGAGATTTTCACTCAATATTCCTCCAATTTCAGGCAAGCTGTTCAGTAGAGCGAACAAGGTGGCGTACATGCTCTTGAACAAGACGGTCACAATCGGAAAAGACAACTCGAAAGTTCCCCTGTGTCGCAGTGGCGACCGCGTCGCCCTCGTGTATCCGAACACCCAGCCCCTGCATTTTTTGGTCGCTTTCCATGGATGTCTTCTCGCCGGGGTCATCCCCGTCCCTGTGGAGATGCCCACTTCCAAGAGGGTTTGTAATTAAAGAAAATCTGTATTGTTTTCATTCTTGAAGCCTCTCCAAACCTGATTTCACTTTTTTTGGCATGAAAAAGGCGCATAGTAGTATAGTCCATTCATAACGACTTGTAACTGTATGACCTGTCTGCGCTCTCTTTTCTCTCCCCTGAGGTTAGAGGAAAGGGAAAATAGCATGTGAACAGTATGCTAGTTTAGTATAGTCCATTCATAACGACTTGTAACTGTATGACCTGTCTGCGCTCTCTTTTCTCTCCCCTGAAGTTAGAGGAAAGGGAAAATAGCATGTGAACAGTATGTTAGTTCAGTATAGTCCATTCATAACGACTTGTAACTGTATGACCTGTCTGCGCTCTCTTTTCTCTCCCCTGAGGTTAGAGGAAAGGGAAAATAGCATGTGAACAGTATGTTAGTTCAGTATAGTCCATTCATAACGACTTGTAACTGTATGACCTGTCTGCTCTCTCTTTTCTCTCCCATGAGATCAGAGGAAAAGGAAAATAGCATGTGAACAGTATGTTAGTTTAGTATAGTCCATTCATAACGACTTGTAACTGTATGACCTGTCTGCGCTCTCTTTTCTCTCCCATGGGGTCAGGGGAAAAGGAAAATAGCATCTAAAATGAGACGAGAGGAGAGAGCGCAGAGAAGGCAGGCTTTTTCAAGTTTTGGTGGATTTTTCAAGGTCTTGAAGCGATTTTTGGCGTGAAATCAGGATTTAAAAGCGAGTCTTTTTTTTCCTCTTCTAATGATTTTTTGACGGCTTTTTATGTAACTGGAATATACAAAAATTTTCATTTTCAAAATTTTTTCGCGCCAAAACCGCGTCGCGACCGCAGCGCGCCACCAAAATTGGAGTTGTCTTTAAACTTTGTAAAGCTGCTGAATGGTTTTTCAAGCGCTTTATAATTCTGTAAGTAACGATTTTTTTTTTCAATTTGTATAGCGAATAAACCTTCATTTTCAATTTACAGGACGCTGGAATCTCCCAACTCGGTTTCCTCCTCGGAAACTGTGGCGCCAAGGTGGCGTTGACCTCCGAGACGTGCTACAAAGGCCTTCCGAAGACGCCGACGACGTCGACGTCGACCTACGCCTCGCCTTCGGGCTCTTCTTCCTTGACGGGTACCTCCACGGAATGTGTCGATTTCCGGGGCTGGCCCAAGCTCTACTGGGTCATCACCGAGCATTTGGTGGGTTTCAATCCATTCATTCAGACATCAGAGAAATTTAAATTTTGTTGGGTTCGATGAGGGAAATTTTGGGAAAAGGAGAGAAGGTTCTGAGTTACCAAAAAATATTTCCGAAGTTAAACCCCCCCAAGGAAGCTTGAAGTTTCAAAATTTGATTTTACCTTATTTTCTGTCAATTGAAACATTTAAACCCACACCGACGATATAAAAAAACAGCTTGTAGATTAGAGAGACGCAGAGAAATTAAAATTTTCAAGTTTTTACCTGAAGTTTCGAAAGAAAGGTTCGAAAAAAGGTATACATTTATCTCAAAGTTGGCTCATTTCCCATTTCTTCTCTTTTCACTTCACTTTATCGAAAATTTCCTCATTTTTCATCTTTGAAACTATAGAAATAATTTTGAATGATTTCATTTTCGAAAAAAAAACTTGTGTGAGAGATCAGAGGCAGCATGAAGAGAACCTAGAGAAATAGAGGAATTCTCTTTCTCTGCCGTCTCTCCACAATTTTCTTTGCGATTCTTGGTTTTTTCGATCCTGGAGGGAGAGTTCAAGGACTGAAGAGAGGCCAGAGAAGTGGGAGAATATATTTTTTCTCTGGGCCCTCCCCAGGCCGCCGTTGATATATTTGTTGTCGCTTCTCAAAGAATCGCCAAGTTTCTGACGAAGATTAGTCTACTCAAGTATGATTATGACCGGATTCAGACGAAACCTTCGCGCGACTGGACAGCCCCGCCACGAGTCGCCGACGAAACAGTCGCCTACATCGAATACGCGACTGATCGAGACGGGGCCGTCAAAGGCGTCTGCGTCTCGCGACAGTCCGTTCTGGCTCATTGCCGAGCTCTTTCTTCTTCCATGGAGTATAAAGAAGGTAGCTGAAAACGAATAATCGAAGAATTGAGACGCCAGATGGCTAAAATTTGTTTTTTATCGATTGAGCAGTAGCTTTTGAATCAGGTGGATGTTAGGATCAGATTGAGTTGGTATAGTAACATTTATCTTATAAAGTTTGACACAAATGTAACGCAATCCGGGCGTTTCTGAGCATTTCAAGGGGTCCCTTTAGCGGTTTAATGACTCTTAAGGGATCCCTTGAAATGTTTAGAAAGGTCTGGTCTTCTGAACTTCCGATTTCCACGGGTTTTTGAAAAAATGAAATATGAAAGTGTTGAAAAAAACTTTAATGCACGCCATACGTTTCTGAGCGTTTCAAGTGACCCCTTTAGAGATTCCAGGACCCTTAAGGGATTGCTTGAAATGCCCAGAAACGTCTGGTCTTCTGAACTTGAGATTTCCACGAGTTTTTGAAAAAAGAAATTGTTGAAAAAAAACTTTGTCACGAAACTCGGACCACTGTAACGTGAACCGGGGGGTTTTTGAGCGTTTCAAGTGGTCCCTATAGCGATGTTAGGACACTTAAGCGATCGCTTGAAACACTCAGAAACGTTCGGTCTCCTGGACTTTTGATTTCCAAGGGTTTTCGGAAAAAAAAGAAAATATTAAAAGTTGAAAAAAAAACTTTATCACACAACTTGGACCTCTGTAACGTAAGATAAACGTTTCTGAGCATTTCTAGTGATTCCTTTAGTGTTTTCTCTTAAGTGATCGCTTGAAATGTTCAGAAAGGTCCGGTCTTCTGAACTTGAGATTTCCACGAGTTTTGAAAAACTTTATCGCACAACTCGGACCTCTGTAACGCAAGCCGGGCGTTTCTGAGCATTTCAAGTGGTCCCTTTAGTGGTGTCAAGGCTCTTAAGGGATTGCTTGAAATGTTCAGAAAGGTACGGTCTTCTGAACTTGAGATTTCCACGATTTTTTGAAAGAAGAAAATAGGAAAGTGTCGAAAAAACTTTAATGGAAGCTCTGAGTTTCTGAGCATTCCTAGTGATCCCTTTAGCGGTTTCAGGACCCTTAAGGGATAACTTGAAGTGCGCAGAAACCTCCAGAAGGCATCCGGTCAAGAGAATATAACCAAAAAAGTCCAATAACCGAAAAAATTGGATTTTTTCAGGCGAAACGATGGTCTGCGTGGTGGATTTCAAACGAGAAGTCGGCCTGTGGCACGCCGTCTTGGCCTCGGTTTTCAACGGGATGAAAGTCATTTTTGTGCCCTATTCTCTCATGAAAATGAACCCGGCCAGTTGGATGCATATGGTCTCGAAGTTTGAAGGTGATTTGGTTATTCTTCTCTGAAAAGAACCCTGGTTTCCCCTTAATTTCCCTTAAGGGGCCCCTAATCCAAGCTTTTCCTAGGACTCCTAACGTTCAGAGTTCTTTGAGAGGCTACTAGGAGGATTTTTAGAGATTTCCGGTTGATTTATTGATTTTTTGGCTGTTAAAATGGTTTTTGTGTTGAAATTGGTTGAGCGATTTCACCTATGCTCCTTTAAATTTTTTTTTTCAACATTCTTGGATATGGAGCTCCAAAAACCTTCTTTTGCTAGAGGATTAATGAGAGGTTAGGGAAAGTGAGACAGTGTGATGAATGGAAAATTGAGAGCTTCTCCCCCCCCAAAAAAAAGGGGGCGGGGATTCTGTCAAAAAAAAACTTTGAATCAAGATCATCAAATTTCAGCGACGACTGCCCTGGTGAAATCCCGCGACTTGCACTGGGCTCTTCTGGCGACCCGCGACCACAAGGACATCACTCTAGCGTCGCTGCGATCGTTGCTCGTCGCCGACGGCGCGAACCCCTGGTCGCTCTCCTCCTGCGACGCGTTCGTCTCCGCGTTCGCCAACGCGACGCATGGCTTGAGGACTGACGCCATGTGTCCGTGTGCTGGCAGCTCGGAAACTGGCACGATTTCTGTTCGAAGGTGGGAGACCCATGAAAGTTAGAGAGCGTGTAGAAGTGAGAGGGCGGAGTTTTCTCGTTTTCTCTAATTCTCTTGTTCACTAGTAGGCCGTTTTTCACGACTTGAAACCCTCTGACCGTGAGAGAAAGAGAGTCGAAAATTTTCAAGTCTAGGCGAGCCGATTGGAAGTTAGAGAGCGTGTAAAAGTTAGAGAGCAGTCTTATCTCCTTTTCTCTGACCTTGCTGATGAGAGAGAGAGACGCAGAGAGTCGAGAACTTTGACCATTTTAAAGTTAGAGAGTGTGTAAAAGTGAGAGGGCAGAGTTTTCTCGTTTTCTCTAAACCTCTTGTTCACTAGTAGACCGTTTTTCACGACTTCTCTGCGCTCTCGTATTCAAGTGCTATTTCCTAATTTCTCTGGAGATAGAGACGCAGACACTCTTAAACTTTGACTATTTGAAAGTTAGAGAGCTTTCGAAAATGAGAGAGCAGAGTTTTCTCTTTTTCTCTGAATCCTTGTTCAATAGTAGACCGTCTTTCACGGCTTCTCTGCGCTCTCGTGTTCAAGTGCTATTTCCATATTCCTCTGACCTCGCCGGTGAGAGAATGAGAGACGCAGACACTCGAAAACTCTGACCATTTGAAAGTTAGAGAGCGTGTAAAAGTGAGAGAGCAGACTTTTCACGTTTCCTCTAAACCTCTTGTTCACTAGTAGACCGTTTTTCACGACTTCTGTGCACTCTCTCCCGTTCAATTACTATTTCCATGTTTCTCTGACCTAGCCGGTGAGGGAGAGAGGGACGCAGAGAGTCGGAAATTTTCAAGCCGCAGCGAAATTTTTAGTTAGAGAGCGTGTAAAAGTGAGAGGGCTGAGTTTTCTCGTTCTCTCTAAACTCCTTATTCACCAGTGGCTACAGAATTTCATTTTGGAAGTTTGTATGACTTTTTGAGTGTTCAAAAGGTGCAGATAAATCTGAGTATAAGAAATTGGATTTATGCCTCTTTTTTCAAAATCAGATTTTGGACTGAACTGCTTGAACATGAGCCTTTTCCAGAAGAAACAACAACAACTTGGGGAGCAGTAGCGGACGCGGAATCTTGTCAATGTCGGCGTTGAGCCATTGTGTCGTGAGGGTCGACCAGGAGAACTCCCTGACCAGCCTCACGTTACAGGTATGATTACCTTGGCCGCTTTTGGAATGGCTCAATGCGTCGCAAGAACGAATAGAAAGAGTCCGGGATTTCCATAGGTTCTTATTATTTGGGTGACGAGGATTTATTTTTAACCGATTTTTTTAAAAAGTAACCGGTAGAAAGGTTCGATGCAATGAAAAATTGAATTGTTTAGAAATTACTGTTTTTTGAAATGAATCAAGTTTGGAACGTATTTTTCGCTTGATTTTTGAAAGGAAAGTGAAAGTCGGCGGTAGAAAATTGGTGTAAAAATTTTCAGAGTTTGCATTTTTCTAAAACTTATTATGAAGCTCTTCTTATCTTGGTGGTTTTCTAACATGAAAGACACAAAAAGTCCAGGAAAAATGGTATTTTCATGCGCTTCTGCCCTAAACCTGTGAAGAAAATTTCTGGATAATAAAAATAGAAAAATTGGATAATTTTTTCCAGGACGCCGGACAAGTGATTGCCGGCGCCGTGGTCGTCGTGATGGCCATCGACGGATCCCAAAAAATGTGCCAAGCCGACGAAATCGGCGAAATTTGCGTTTCCGCAAACTCTACAGCACATGCTTATTGGGCGTTGGAGGGACAGACGACTCACACTTTCAAGGTTTGTTTTTTTATATTTAATTAGTTTTTTGATATTCCCATATGATGGGTTAATATAATGACAAAGGAAGTTTTTAAAAAAATCGATTCATTTAAAAAAATGAAATGAAAAATGAGACGAAACGGGAAATTTCCGTCGAAAAAACGCAGAAGGTTTCGCTAAAAGCTCCATGAAAAAAAAAAATTAATTTGAGCTCTTTTTGATAGTTTCAGAGAATCCTTTTTGGTTTCCTTGAAATTTATACAGTTGCTTTACAGCATCTTCCAGGTATTCTCGAAAGAAATTTTGGGAAAATAATTTTTTCATAAATTTTAAGGAATCCTTGTTATCCGTGGTATTCAAAATGAATATCGAATAGCAACCAATGATCCTCAATTCACACGAAATTAAAAAAAAAGAATGAAACAAGGAAAAGGAAAAAAAAAGTTGAATTTTTTGTTTTAGCGAAAATGTCGTCTCTCTCCGTAGAGACGCAGAGAAAGAAGTTCAATAGGGCGCGTTTGGTCGAGATTTAGAACATTTTTTGCGCAAAACGAATTTTTCGAAATTTTCAATGTTTATTGTTGTTTCATTCGATTTTAGCAGAGCTGTTCTCAGGGCGACCGCGGTCGACCGAGGGCCCCCCGACTTGCGGCGTATTCGAGGGCGGCCGCGGTCGGCCTTTGGTAAGGGTCAACTCGGTCGACCCGTAGATACAAATTTTGTTTTGACTCCCGGTTTTTTGCGAATTATAAGAAAGCGCAAGTTTTACTGAAATGAAAGTGAAACAAAAACCATTTTTTATCGAGCACATAAAGAAGAAAAACCGATGAAAAGAGATATTAATCCAAAAATTCAATAGTTTCCAAGTGGCCAGAACAATTTACAGAACTAGATAAAACAACTTGATAAATAAAAAAATAATTTGAAATTTTCACATCATCAGGAATTTCATTTTTCGCAAAAAAATTCATTCAAACCACTATTTGAAATATTATTTTATTTATTTACAAAGAGAAAAACGAAAAAGATGAGAAAAAGTGAAATCAAAAAGCACGATTTCTGTCAAAAACAATAAAATTAAAGTTTTCATGGATCATAAATAACTTAAAAATTCAGTTTCAATATGAAAAACTAAAATAAAAACAAAAAATACGGAAAAAAAAATCCTCGCGCTCGCTTCGGGGGCCTGAATGAAAACCGCTTCGCGGGCCGGGGCGCTCAGGGGCGCGTCGCGGTCGGGTCGGGGCGGCCTCGGCCAGGGTTGCCCCGACTTGAGAACAGCTCTGGATTTTAGTACCCCCTCGCATGCTGATCAGGTGTCTCAACGGGTGTACCCGTATTAAACCCGTGTTTCTGAGGTTATTTCAGTCTTAGTTGGGCTAAAACGGGGGAAAAACGGGTGTAACAAAAATATGTAACCCAGCTGGGCTGAAGCGGGGTCTCAGTTGGGCTAAAAATTGCCAAAAGTTCTATCAGTTGGGCTTTTACGGGTTTAATACGGGGGCCCGCTGAGACCCCGTGTTAGCACGGCGGAGTTACCCTGCTCAGCATGCGAGCCTTTAAAGTATTTCAAGTCTAGTTGACTTGAGATATCAGTCATAAGAAAATTTATTTGCTTTCAAAACACTTTTTTTCTTTCATTTTGTCGTAGAATTTCATGGCGAATCGAAAAAAATGAACTTCTTTATCAAGATATTGTGAGCTCGATAAGTTTTAGAGCAGTTTTGATTGATGAAAACCTATTTAAAGGAATTTTGTGGATGTCTATCAAAAACTGAATTTTTTTAAGGTCGAACCACTTGGAGAGAATGGCCGACCGCTTGGAGTTGTACGTTACGTTCGAAGTGGGCTTATTGGATTCATGGGACCTGTGAGTTTTCAAAAATAATAAACTTGATGAAAAATAAATTTAGGATGGTTTGGTTTTTGTCGTCGCGAGAAGATCTTCACTTTTGACCGTATCGGGACGTTATCATTCGGCTGATGATATCATTGGTTGGTGTGAAAAATGGAAATATCAGATTTTAGATTTGAGATTTTTTTGAAATGATGTAGTTGTTTAATCTTGGGCAAAGTCGGAATTTCGGATAATGGCCGCTGGAAGGGAGAGGCTCAAAAAAGGGTGTAGAAAGGTAGCAAAAAGGGTCCCTTTATTGAGCCTTCCATTTTTCTGGGATTTTAAAGGCTCCAGAATTGGTGAAAAAAGAGAGAGGCAGTAAAAATGGTGCATAACAGCCGAAGAAATGGCGCAAAAAGGCAGCGAAAAAGGAACCTTTCTAGGAAGCCTTTCTGCATCCTTTCCGACTTTGCCTAGGATGATCCTAGCTGGAAAGTTTCTCCTAAAATAACACTGAAAACGAATTTTCGCTCTAAAATCTTCATTAAATTGGTCTAAAGCTGTTTCACGGTTGACTTGAGCCATCGAAAAAGGGGTCCTGACACGAAAAACAAGACAATGCGTGGTCAGTGGAGAACGCAGACAGACCACGCCGCCTTAGCGTCCCAAGCTAGCCGTAAATCGATTGTATGATCCTATAAAAATCTTGATAAGAACGCAAAATTGAAGACTTTTGATTTTTAAAGTCTCAAAGTTCATTTTACAGCGACTGTTCTGGCCGTTGAGCCCATGCGATTTGTATACCGAGGCCGAATTTGTGTCTTCTCGACGAATGTTCTCCGGGATGAAAGGATCGTGATTGTGGCTGAACAGAAGCCCGGAACCAACGAAGAAGAAGCGTTCAATGTAAAGAATTATTCAAAATCTCATTGGGAATATGATATTTTTCCAGTGGATGTCCCGGGTGCTCCAAGCGATCGACACGATCCACCAAGTTGGGATTTATTGTCTGGCTCTCGTGGCGGCCAATCAGTTGCCAAAGGTAGGATTCAAAGTGTTATTTGAGAAAATGATTTTGAATTTTTTGCCAAAGGCGGTGTTAGTGCCGTTCAAAAGAGCAATTTTTTCACGGAAACATGATTTTTTGATTTTAAAAAATTACCTTGCAGTTAAGGTTTTCGCTTATTTTAAGATGAGTTTTTGAGAGTTCTGTATCTCTAGGTTTATCAAGCGGAAAATTCTGAATTTGTCGATTCTGGAAACAGGAATTTAACACACCTCTAGCCTAAGTTATAATGTTTTGAACGTAATAAATGACCTTAAAGTTAAGGTTTTTCCTAATTCGGGATTTTTTGTCCTTATGGTCTTTTGAGAATATTGTCATTTTGGGATTATCAAGAGAACAGTTCTGATTTTTTGGTACCGGAAACAGGAATTCAGGACATCTACATCCTAAGTTATGATTTTTTGAACTTATCAAATGACCTTAAAGCTAAGGTTTTTCCTTAATTTGAGGTTTTCCCTTAGGGTTTTCAGAATTCTTCTTCTCTAGGTTTATCAAGCGAACAGTTCTTGATTTTTTTGATTCTGGAAACAGGAATTTAGGACACCTACAGCCTAGGTTATAAATTTGTGAATTTAACAAGTGACCTGAAATTTAAGGTTTCTCCTTATATTTAGATTTTCCTTAAGGTTTTTTGGAAGTTCTATTTTTCTAGGATTATAAAGCGGAAAATTCTGAATTTATATAGGATACCTACAGCATAATTTGTGATTTTTTTGAACTAAAAAAATTTACTTGGAAAAATAAGAATAAAAAAATTAAAATAAAATAAAAAAATAAAAAAATAATAAATAAAAAAATAATAAATAAAAAAATAATAAAAAAATAAAAAAATGAAAAAAATAAAAAGTAAATGAAAAAAATAATGAAAAAAATATCAAAAAAATAAAAAAATAATTTTTTTCCTTAATTTGACATTTTTCCTTGAGGTTTTTGGAGAATTTTTGTTTCTCTAGGATTATCAAGCACATGATTCCGAATTTTTTTGGTACTTAAAAAAACGGCAGAACTAGAAATTTTCAGGTCTAAGAAGTTTTACACAGTTTTCAAATATGTCAAAGCGCTCACATCACTAAAAACGATCAATTTTGAATTATGACTTATGGAAATTACATTGAAGAGAGGAGAAATTTTGAACCAGACCTTTTTTGGCGTATTGTTAGAAAACAGTTTTAGCATCATCGCTTGAAAAAAAAAATTCAAAACAAATTGAAACTTTTTTTTTTCTTATAGCCTGTCAAGTATAATGACGTCATTCTCAAAACCGTTCTGTGGATGACTTGCGCTATTAGGGGCGGAGCTTGAGCTTGATCAAAACCTCAACAGTCTAAGCCATTTTCGATGCACCTGGAATAGAAATTTTGAAAACCAAGTCACAGAATACTGGTGTTGACCATCATGAGATTGATAAAAAGCTTGAGCAACGACTTGAAATTCAAATTCTGAACAGACCATAAAGTCTCAAAGTCAGTATATAAGAATATGTATTTTTTGAAGACACCTCTCGGAGGAATCCACGTGTCGGAGACGCGGCAAAGATTCGAGAACGGTGACTTGCATCCGTGTACTTTGCTCATGTGCCCCCACAGCTGCGTCCTCAACCTGCCCAAACCCCGGTTCGTCCCCCTTGTTTATTTTCTTGCTTTTTGCAGTGAACGACAGGCGGACGTCGGCCCAGCGGCCATCTTCGTCGGCAACATCGTTCAAGGCGTTCGGATCGCCGGCGCCCAGGGCCGCAGCTTGGATGATGAGGCTGTTAGTTGATCTGAAAAAGGGAGATTTGAGAGAAAAGTGGCCACTATAGGGTTTTGACGTTTTAGCGGCCACTATAGGGTTTTGACGTTTTAGCGGCCACTATAGGGTTTTGACGTTTTAGCGGCCACTATAGGGTTTTGACGTTTTAGTGGGCACTATAGGGTTTTGACGTTTTAGCGGCCACTATAGGGTTTTGACTTTTTAGTGGCCACTATAGTAGTCAAATTAGTGGACACTTAAGGGGTTAAAGTTAGTAGCCACTATAGAGGTCTAAGTGCTACTACTAGACCATTAAAAATTTTAGTGGCCACTTTAGGGATCAATGGATCAACATAACTGGTCCTGTTTGTTTTAAAATTATCAGGGTTACTGGAAATACTGGAAGAAAAACTACTGAAGTGGCCACTAAAACGGAGAATAGTAGCCACTATAGAGGAGGGTTCAGTTGCCACTTTAGTGTCCTCTCCTAGTAGTCCTCGGCGAGCCTCTAAAGTGGCCACTATAACTTTTCCCAGTCTAATCGAGTTCTCTGAGAACCTGAGCCAATGGCACCTTTTCAGTCTTACCCACTTTTGGAGCTTCTCCGATCCCGGGCCGCCTCGGCGCCAGATCATCGACTTCTGACGCTAGTCACAGCGAAAGGCGCCGAAGCCGACACGGCCACCTGCGCCAGTCTTCTCAAGTAGAAATCCCCTCATTTTGTCTTCAGAAATCAAAGAAAACCTTGCAGAAGAGCCGAACGAGTCGCGGGTCTGCTCACCGAACGGGCTCGTCTCAACAAGGGAGATCACGTCGCCTTGATTTTTCCGCCGTCGATCGATCTCGTCGCCGCCTTCTTTGGATGCCTAGCTGCCGGTTAATACTTGATTCGTTTTGAATGGAAAACATGCACAAATTCGAAATTGATCCCTACAGGGGCTAGGGAGGAAAACAGCCTCTATAGGGGCCGAAAAAGTGGTCCCTATAGGGATTAGGATTCTATCCCTTAGCCTTTAAAACAAAAAAAGTGGACCCTATAGGGGTCTTTCAGTTGCATTTAAAAACGCTTATTCATTTAGTTTTTCCCATGGAAATGCTTCTTCGCTTAAAATTCATAACGATTATCGACCAGCATGTCCCCTGTAGGGCCCACTAATTAAAACCCCTAGGAGGACCAATTTTGCAAGCTTTAGCGGTCCCTATAGTTGGTTTTCAAAATGTTGTTCTCTTTTCGAAAAGAAGGTACCTGTCTTGAATTTCCATTTTATGATCTTCATTTTTTCTTTTTTGGCTCGCGTTTTATTTAGAAAATTTTCTACTAGGTCGAAAAGCCTTTATATTTCGATTTTTAAGCACCTAAATTATCCAGACAGTTTTTTTCTGTCTGCAATACTCTTTATTAGCAGAGAAAATTTTTTTTTCAATTTTTGCTAGCTGCCTATTGATGCACCGTGTGGTTATGGAGAAGATTTCTTGAAATTTTGAGGAGGATGACATTTTGAAGGTTAGGAGTTGAAAATCTAATTTTTTTATAACTGGAAATAGTTAAAAAAATATCAATTTTGAAGTTTATCCTTTCCAAAAAAATGTTTTGATTTTTCCCAGGCCTCGTTCCGGTATGCATCCGACCTCCCACGGTTTCGGATCTCCACGTAACTTTGCCTTCGGTCCGAATGGCGGTTGATATCAGCAAATCAGTGGCGATCCTGTCCACCAGTAGCATTAGCAAACTTCTCAAGGTTGGTAAAAAAAATAATAAGAAATATAACGCGTCGCGGTTTTTGGCGGGAAACGAAAATTTAAAAACGAGCCGCTTTTTTTAAAGATATTTTTTATCTTGTTTGAATTTCATTTCAAAGAATCTCGCATGCTGAGCAGGGTAACCCCGCCGTGCTAACACGGGGTCTCCGCGGGTGCCCCCGTATTAAACCCGTATAAGCCCAGCTGATAGAACTTTTTGGCACTTTTTTTAGCCCAACTGAGACCCCGCTTTAGCCCAGCTGGGTTACCTATTTTTTCTTACACCCGTTGTTCCCCCGTTTTTAGCCCAACTGAGACTAAAAATAACCTCAGAAACACGGGTTTAATACGGGTACACCCGTTGAGACACCTGATCAGCATGCGAGAATGATGATATAGAAAATGAATATTTTTCATATTTTTTTCCATTTAAATTTGAATTTCCCGCCAAAAAGCCGCGTGGAGGTTTTTTTGGCGGAAAATGAGAATTCAAAAAAACGAGTTTTTTTCGATAAATTCCCTCTTATTTGAGTTTCATTTGAACGAATGATTATATGAAAAAAAGCTTATTTCCAAACTTTTCCTGCTTAAATTTGTATTTCCCGCCAAAAGCCGCGTCGCGACCGCGAGTAACTACAGTATCCTAAAAAAAATCGATATTTGTTTGGGCATTTTCAAGGAAATTTTCAAATTTGCGCGCGAAAATTCATAAATCGTTGTAGGACCCGAATTTTACTAATGGCTACAGGAATTCAACTTTTTCCTGTTTCATGAAGTAATTTTGAAAGAGGAACGCGTGAATTTTGAAATCTCCGGAATTACAAAATAAAAAAAAAAAAAAAAAAAAACAAAAAAATTTTTGCTGATTCACGACTGGCTTGAGCCATCGAAAAAATGATCCTGACACGGGAATAAAAGAGATAGTGCCTGGTTGGTGGAGAGCGCAGACAGGCCACGCCCCTTAGAGTCCCAAGCTAGCCATGAATCGGCTATACAACAAAAAAAATGAAAACCAATTTTTTTCAGAGCAAAGAAGCGGCTCACCGAGTCGATTCCAACGCTTGGCCCATGATCCTGGACATGGAAGACGCCCCGTCTTCCTGGAAAAGAAAGGGAAATAACGTCGGAACCAACGATTCTTCCGGAAGTATGGGCGCTTCCAAAAGCGATGTCTGCTATTTGGTTGGTTCCAGTGGGAAAAAAGGATGATCCTGGACGTTTTCTCCAGGATTTTGCCATGAGCACGACCGGACAATTGGCCGGAGTCGTCATGACCGAAGCCGCCGCCGTCGGCGCCTGCAAGAGCTTGAAGGTATTTTCCTCAAAATGAAGGGAAAAAAAAATGCATTTTGAAAGCTTTTTCAGTGGGATTGGTAACGTTACAAAAGCAGAAAATGCTCGAAATGTTTCAATATTGATTATTTGATCATAAATACCCAGAAATTTCTTACAGGACTTTTTTAGAAGCTCAAGAATGATATAAAACTGTAAACGATTTTTTTTTGTGATTTTTGTAATTTTTTAAATTAGCTCAGAGAACTTTACGAAGAGAGTTGGAACAAAGAAAAAAAAATTGAAAAATTAGTTTTAAAAAAAAGTCGCTTTTTTGATGGTTTTACTGTCCTGAACCGGAAAAATTTTTCAGATTTCCTATTTTTTTATTGTCTTCTATCGTTTTTTTGTGAAGTTCAAGATTGTCATATATTTCGAATTTTTTTCATACCTTTTTTTGAAAAACAGAGGGAAAAAAAGAATATATATTTCTAAATTGTTCAAAGATTTTTTTGTATGGTGTGATATCCAAAAAAATGGTCTCAAGAGCCAAAAAATTTTTCTAAGATCTTCTGAAATTATTTTTAAAAAAACTGAAAAGTTAGTTTCAAAAAATGTTGCTTTTTTTGGTAGTTTTATTGTCTTGAACCGGAAAAGTTTCAGATTTTTTTCGATTTTTTTCTTTCCTTTTTGATGCCATTTAGAGGGTTTAGCGGGTCAGTTTTGAAGTTTTATACCTTTTTTTGAAAAGTCTGGAGAAAAAAATATATAAATTCTGAGTTGTTCAAAAGATTTTTTTGTATGGTGTGAATTCCAAAAAAAAAATGGCCCTGGTGTCAAAAAAAATTGCGCCAATGTTGATATACCCCTTGGTGAATGAACTATCAAGTTCGTGCAAAAATTTGAACTTCAACAAGTTTCTTTTCCAGGTCTCCAGCGAGCTCTACCCCTCCAGGCACGTCGCCGTCTGCGCTTCCCCATATTCTGGAATTTCCCTGGTTCTTTGGTGCCTATCTTCAGTTTATTCAGGTAAAACATGACCTGAGATCGATATTAGAAAAGTTTTTCAGGACATCACACGACCCTCATCCCACCAGCAGAAGTTGAGCAACAGCCGTCCCTGTTCCTCACCACTCTATCTTCACTGAAAAGTTGGAATCCTCCCAGAAAAATGTATGAATCAAGAAAATTCCAGTCCGCGACGCGTTCACCAGCTACGCGACCATGCAAACCTGCGTCGCGCAACTCGGCACCGCAGTCGCGACTCTGAAAGAACGCGGCTGCAACCTGTCGTCGCTGCGGACGTTGGTCGCGATCGCCGAGGAACGCCCGCGGGCCTCCCTCATGGCCGCCTTCACTCGCCTCTTCGCCCCGCTTGGCCTCAACGCCCGGGCCGTCTCCACCTCCTTCGGGTCCCGGGTCAACCCGGCGATCTGCATGCAGGTCTCGTTTCGGGAACTTTGAAGGGTCTTGATGAGAAATGAGTTTCCTCATGAAAGATTCTCTAGAAAATGTATAGTTTGATCCTTTGAAGAGAAGCCAGAGCGGCCCCTAGAGGGGTTAGAGATTAAAAGTCCCCTACTTAAGAACTCCAGTGTGGTCCCTATAGGGGCAACATTAAGAGCCCTCTAGGACCACTTTACCAACCTCTAAAGGGGCCACTAAAGCTTGCAAAAGTGATCCCTGTAAATTTTTAGTTAGTGGCCCCTATAGGGGACATGCTAGAAGCATTTCCATGCGAAAACGCCCGGGCCGTCTCCACCTCCTTCGGGTCCCAAGTCAACCCGGCGATCTGCATGCAGGTCTCGTTTCAGGGACTTTTAAGGGTCTTGATGGGAAAATGAGCCTTTTGAAAGTCCCTCGCGTTTGAAAATTCTCTACAAGAGTTATAGTTTGATCCTTTGAAGAAAGTCCAAGGGACGCCACAGTGGCTTCTAGAGGGGTGAGAGGAAAAAAAGGCCCACTTAGGACTATGGGGCAAACTTACAGGGGCCCTCGGTGGGACTACCAACTCCTATAGGGGCCACTACAGCTTGCAAAAACGGTCCCTGTAGAAGTTTTAGTTAGTGGCCCCTATAGGAGTCATGCTAGAAACACTTCCATGCGAAAACGCCCGGGCCGTCTCCACCTCCTTCGGGTCCCGGGTCAACCCGGCGATCTGCATGCAGGTCTCGTTCTGGGACTTTGAAGGGTCTTGATGATCTTGAGAAGCTCTTAGAAAATGTATAGTTTGATCAAGCCTTTGAAGGGAGTCCAAGAGACGCCAGAGTAGTCCCTTAAGGGGCTAGAGAAAAAAAAGCCACTACTTAGGAACTACAGTGTGGTCCCTATGGGACAAACTCAGGGTCCCTCTAGGGACTTCTTTAACAACCCCTATAGGGGACACTGAAGATGCTTCCCTAGAGTGGCCACTAACTGAAACCTTTAGTGGGACCACTTTTGAAAGTTAATGCCCCTATAGGGGGAGGTAAGGTGGTCCCCATAGGGGCGAACATTCATTGTCATTTGATAAAGATTTACTGATTTTTTCCAGGGAGCCTCGGGTCCCGACACGACTACCGTATTCGTCGACGCGAGGGCTCTTCGCAACGATAGGATTACTCTGGTCGGAAAAGGAGCACCCGCACAGTGTGGCTCTGGTTGAAAGCGGGAAACTGTTGCCGGGCGTCAAAGTGGCCATCGCCAATCCGGAAACCCGGGGACAGTGCGCCGACTCGCATCTCGGAGAGATCTGGGTGGGTACGAAAAAAATCGGTATAAAATAATTTCGCGCCAGATTGTCACGTTTTTTTCTCCCGAAAAGAGTATACTAAAAAAGACCCCTTTTTGCTACGAGCCCTCTGTTTTTCGCTGTAGAGCAAAAGTGCAAAAAAAAGTTCTGTGTACGGTAGATTTTTTTTTTGTTGCGATTGAAGATGATCCTTTGATAGTGATGCATTTTTTGCCTTTTTTCTAACTGTTAGATCAAAAAAGATCATGTCAAGCAGCTAACTCCGCCCTTTTGGCTACAGTACCTTTGCGTCGAACTTTTTTTTATCGCACCTGACAATGATCCTTTAATAGAAATTCTTCAATTCAGCTTTTTGAGTTTTTTAAGTTTTTATCAAAAAGACCATGTCAAGTAACTAACTCCGCCCCCGTGGCTACAGTATCTTTCGCGTCGATTTTTTTTTATCGCGCTTGACGATGCGCCTTTAATAACCTATTTTGACTTTTTTCATAGCTATCAGATCAAAAAAATCATGTCGAGGAGCTAAATCCGCCCCTGATGGCTACAGTACTTCGAATTTTTATCGCGGCGGACTATGATCCTTTAATAGTGATACATTTTTTTCGATTTTTTTGTTAGTCTTTTTTTCAAAAAAAGGTTCATGTCAAGAAGCTAACCCCGCCCCCTTGGCTACAGTACTTTTCGCGTCGGAATTTTTATTGCGCTTGACGATGCGCCTTTAATAACATTTTTGACTTTTTTTTAGCTATCAGATCAAAAAAAATCATGTCGAGGAGCTAAATCCGCCCCTGATGGCTACAGTACTTCGAATTTTTTTTTATCGCGGCGGACTATGATCCTTTAATAGTGATACATTTTTTCAATTTTTTGTTAGTCTTTTTTCAAAAAGGTTCATGTCAAGAAGCTAACCCCGCCCCCTTGGCTACAGTACTTTTCGCGTCGGAATTTTATTGCGCTTGACGATGCGCCTTTAATAACATTTTTGACTTTTTCCAGTTTTCTGATCAAAAAAGGTCAAAAGGAGCTTGATTTTCACAATCTGTTGAAGCGATTTTCGAGAACTTTCCCTTCAAAAAGCCCTTTTTGCAGGTCTCGTGCGCCCACAGCGCCGGTAGCGCCTTCTCCGTCTTCGGCGACGAGTCGAGCATGCACACGGATCATTTCAACGCGCGACTCACGACGGGAGATACCAGGACCCGCTGGGCGAGAACGGGCTTCCTGGGATTCCTGCGACAGACCCAGTCGATCACGGAGCACGGCGAACTGCACGACGCCGTCTTCGTCGTCGGATCCATCGAAGAGAGTCTTCTCCTGCGCGGAATGCGCTACTATCCGGTTGACATCGAAACGACGGTCGGGAAGTCGCATCGGAACGTCGGGGAATCGTGAGTTTTAGCCTAACGTCTAGACGCCATTGCGCTCGCTAAAGTTTAATGCACCCGACCCGAGCCGGGTTACGCGCGCGATCAAAAGTTAGGAAGTTTGAGGAATGGTTTTTCTAGCGAAAATCTTTTTTCGAGCCGCTCAAAGTAAGACAAAGCGAAATAAGGAGTCAATTTCAAAAGTTTTTCATAGCGAAAAATGCGACTTTAAGGCATTTCAAGCTGTGAAAACTGTACGGAAAAATGAAGAAAAATGGATTTCTAGAGCCGTTTTCACCTGGAATCACCTCGTCGTCGTGATCGCCGAGTGTTCTGGCGCGGAAAATGAGGCTTTGGATTTGGTGCCCGCCATCACCTCAACGGTAAGAATCATTTTCATTTTTTTAAAAAGAGTTTTAGGCTTAACTTGGGTTTTTTTTCGAAGCCAGAAAGAACAGTTTCATTAGAAAATACGCTGAAAAAAAAGCGAATTTGAAGCATTTGCGCTCCATGGATAATATAAAAATGAAAAAGAAATACTTACTTTGCTTACTTTGATGGTCCATCTTCGCTGATGTTCTCAGCGTGGACCACACGTTCTCCAGGCGGCTCGGTCTTGCGCGACGGTCATCCAGTGGCGGCCTGGCTGACTGATGTTCTTGCGGAAGTAGTCCGTCCATCTGGTCGGTGGGCGCCCGAGTGGGCGCTTGATGTTTCTCGGAATCCAGTGTGTTACTCTCGTGGACCAGCGGTCGTCTTGTCTGCGGATGACGTGGCCGCCCCAACGATGTTTCCCGCGTTGTATGTGCTCTTCTAGATCCCGGATTTGGGATAGTTGACGGAGGTCTGTGCTCCTCTGTTCTTTTTTCCACTGCTCGAAGCGAGTGGTGCCGATGAGAGCACGTTCCAGTGCGCGGTAGGAAGTTCGTAGGGCGGTTGCATTTTTTTCTTCGTGTCAGGCCAAACTTCGGTACCGTAGGAGATGGCAGGGATTATCGACGCTTCGAAGATGTGAGCTCGCAGTTTCGGGTCTTTCAGCTGACTGGTGACTTCTTTGATGGAGTTGAAGGCGGCCCATCCAGCGCGTTTGCGTCTGCCGATCTCTGCTTGCAGGTCGTTCACCATGTTTACTTCCCGGCCAAGGTAGATGTAGGATGTGACCTCCTGAAGGTCGCGGCCCTCAAGGGTGACTTTGCCTTGGTCGCAGAAGCGGTTCTTCATCCACTGCGTCTTCTTGACGTTCATCTTAAGGCCGATCTTCTTGCCGACTTCGTCCAGATCGTTCAGCATAGAGGAAAGTTCGGTGGTGGAGCTTGAGAAGAGTACGATGTCGTCGGCGAAGCGGAGGTTTGTGAGGACCTTGCCGTCGATGTTGATGCCTCTGATGTCTGTACTGTCTTCCCAGTCGTGCTCTTCGTCCCATCCAAGTTGGCGCATCGCGTCTTCTAGTGCCGTTGAGAACAACTTGGGGGAGATGGTATCTCCCTGGCGAACACCTTTCCTGATGGGGATCGAAAGCTTCTTGTCGAACAGCTGGATGGTCGTGGACGTTCCCTCGTTGCTGTTGGCGATCAGCTCGACGTACTTCGTGGCGACTCCGGCGGAGGCAAGAGCATTCAAGACGGCGTTGATCTCCACGCTGTCGAATGCCTTGTAGTAGTCGACGAAGGCCAACGCAAGTGGCATCTGGTGCTCCCGGTGCCGTTCCACCACCTGGGTCAAGGCGTGGATGTGGTCGAGGCAAGAGTAGTTGCGTCGGAAGCCAGCCTGCGAAGGCGGTTGGAAGTTGTCGAGTTGCTTCTCTAGTCTGTTGACGATGACCTTGGTGAACAACTTGTAGACGACTGATAAGAGGGAGATCGGTCTGAAGTTGTTCAGGTCGGTGAGGTCGCCCTTCTTCGGAATGAGGATCGTCTTGGACGTTTTCCATTGTTCAGGAATAGAGGCTTCGTTCAGGTACTTGGAGAAGTGCCGGGCAAGTAGTCGGTACAGCGAGTCTCCTCCAGCCTTCAGCAGTTCGGATGAGATGTTGTCGGGTCCTGCGGCCGTTCCGACCTTCAGCTTCCTGATGGCGTACTTGACTTCTTCGGGAAGGATCAGGGGGTTCATCTTCTGGTGGCGGCGTTGGTGTTCTGGGGACGGGAACGTCGCTTCGGAAGAGTTTCGTGTAGAAGTCGACCGTCAGGCGCTCCATCTCGTTCCTTGACGTCTTCAGCTGGCCGTTCTCGTCCTTCAGTGCTGTCATCACCGTTCGCTCGTCGACGAGCTCGAACTTCTTCTTCTTGAGGCTTTGACGTTTCTCAGCTGTCTGAAGGAGTGCACTCCTGCGTCGGTTGGCTAGAGACTCTTGCACGGCCATTCTGCAGGCTTTGTCGATCGTCAGACGTTCCAGGTGCGTGGCCTGCGGGTCTCGTTTGACTTCTCCTCTTCTTCGCAGCAGATCTTTCGCTCGTTGGTCGAGTCGCGGCGGTAGAGACGAGGTTGGTCGAGCTGCAGGTTCTGCACATCTGATGAGGCCATCGCAGAGGGATTCGTAGTCGGCTGTCGGGTCGTCGAGAAGCTGCCAGTCGTGCTCCGAGATCTTCTCCTCCAACGTGGTGATGTCGTAGGTTGGTCTTCTCGGTCTCGATGGCTGGTGGTAGTCTTTCTTCAGAAACTTTTGGTTCAGACGGACCTTGGCGCGAACGAGTCGATGGTCGGATCCAACGTCGAAACTGGGTAGTACGGCAACGTCGAGGAGAGACCATTTCCGGTTGGCCAGAATGTGGTCGATCTCGTTGGTGGTGTCTCCGTTGGGCGATTTCCAGGTCCAGCGTCTCTGATCAGGCTTCTCGAAGAGAGAGTTGCCGTGGTAGAGCCTTCTGGAGTCGAGAAGTTCGGCTAGGCGTTCTCCGTTGTCGTTCCGAATTCCGAGTCCGTGCTTCCCGTGACGAATCGAGGGAGTGGCGCACTTGCCCATCTTCGCGTTGAAGTCACCCAGAACGAAGATGTAGTACGCCTTCTCTCGTTGGATCGTTTCCTCGAGCTTCCGGTAGAAATCGTCAAGTTCCTTTTTCCTTCTCTTCCCTTTTTAGCCTTAGATTCGGCTTCTGGTGAGGTCGGCGAGTAGACGTTGATGATGGTGAGTCTTCCTCGTTTTCCTAGGTTGAGTCGGAGGATGCCGAGGCGGGCGTTGACGATTTCGTGCGAGTCGACGAGGTGTTGGACCGAGCGATTGACGAGGAAACCGACGCCGCCGACGTTCTTCCCAGGGACTTTGTGGCCGAGGATGAGAAGTTCACCATTTGGCCAAGTCTTACAGCTGGTGTCTTGAGATTTTGTTTCCTGGAGCGCCACTATGTCGATGAGTGCGTTTCGGTTTGCCGCGAGCAATTGCTCTTTTGCTGCATCGGAGGCGAGCGAGCGGCAGTTGAGGGTTCCGAAACGTAGACAGTCACCGTGGCGCGTCCGTAGTCCGTTTCTATGGTATCCTGTTGCTCCGAGATTTGATCGCCCCTCGTCGGCAGAGGCAGCCCCCGATACCGGAGAGGCGCGTGACCGACGGGCGGAGGACTGGGGCCGTCTTGTTGAACGTGTTTTAGCTTTTTTGTGGTCTGGTTATCCTCGTTGCCTTGCCAGGGCTAGGAGGACCGCCCATTCTATTAGCATAAAGCAAGGCGAACTGCGTGACCGGTGTACCGTTAGCCGCCATTTATGACGTTGCCGCCATAAATGGTCGTTGATCCCCATCACCGCGGAGAGGTGGTACATGAAGGAGGAAAAAAATTGCGGAGAATTAAAGCATTTGCGCTCCGTGGATAGCCAAAAATGAAAAAAAAAAATGCCCAGAATTAAAGCATTTGCGCTCCATGGAATATCACAAATGAATAAAATATCCGAGGTATGAAGCTTTCGCGCTCCATGGATAATCAAAATTAAAAAAATAGCCGAGAATAAAAGCGTTTGCGCTCCATGGATAATCAAAAATGAAAAAAATTGACGAGAATTAAGGCATTTGCGCTCCATTGATAATCACAAATGAATAAAATATCCGAGGTATGAAGCTTTCGCGCTCCATGGATAATCAAAAAAA